ATTTTGGGTCACGAGGTCAAAGGTCAAAGGTCACAGGGCTCATTATGTATGCAAAAACAGCTTGTGATCGCGTTATCTGAACAACCGATTGATGGATTCCTGCCAAACTTTGTCTGAACAACCGATTGATGGATTCCTGCCAAACTTTGGTCATGTATGTATCTTGCAGAGCTGATGAACTGATTAGATTTTGGGGTCACGAGGTCAAAGGTCAAAGGTCACAGGGCTCATTATGTATGCAAAAACAGCTTGTGATCGCGTTATCTGAAGAACCGATTGATGGATTCCTGCCAAACTTTGGTCATGTATGTATCTTGCAAATACCAATGAACTGATTAGATTTTGGGGTCACGAGGTCAAAGGTCACAGCGCACATTGTGTATGCAAAAACAGCTCGTGATCGCCTTATCTCAAGAACCGATTGATGGATTCCTGCCAAACTTAGGTCATGTATGTTACTTGCAGAGCTGATGAACTGATTAGATTTTGGGGTCATGAGGTAAAGGTCAAGGTCATGCGGCTCATTATGTATGCAAAAATAGCTTGTGATCGTATTATCATTAGAACAGATTGATGGATTCCTGCCAAACTTAGATCATTTATGTATCTTGCAGAGCCAATGAATGGTTCATAAGATCAAAGGTCATGGGCTCATTATGTATGCAAAATAGCTTGTGGACGCATTCTCATTAGAACTGACAGATGGATTACTATTTAACTCAGGAAATCTTGCAGAGCCAATGAACTGAGTAGATTTTAGGGTCATGAGGTCAAAGATCAAAGGGTCATATATGTATATGAGAAATTGCTTGTAATCACGATATTCTGAGAACATGTTAATGGATTACAATTGAACTTGAATTTGAAAAATTTCTTCCGTTTCGGTTTGTAAAATTGCTCTATGACGGAGGCATCATTTTCGACTGCGCGCAGTCGAATTCCATCTAGTCTTCTTCCATTTAAACTATCAGGCCTATGAGTAGATGCGTACCAAGTTTTCTGAGCCTTATGCTGAAGACCTGCATGTATAAACAAAGTGGTCATGTGATTTGAGATTAGCCTTGATGCCAAGAGCTACTTGTATAGGAGGGATATATGAATTGAAATCCTGGAATCGGTGACGTATTGAAAGTTTCAAAATAAACATTTTGTTAATACAAACTGGCATACCAGTATGTGATTACTGTAAGACATACTTTCTGTTAGTGCATAAATCAATATTTCGTTGAAGGTACATGATTTTTATGAGAAAATTGTAGCAATAAAAGAATGTTTACAACTTCAAGAAGAAAATCTTATCACTGTAGTACAAATCAGATGATCTTATAGTTTGTAAGTTTGCAGCATTGTATTTATACCAAATTAACTGGAATGGAAATTTCATTATACCTGAAATATTTTCAGAACAATCGTGTTTGTGCTTATGTGTACGGGGTATGTGCCAAAGATTAAAGTATTTCTTGTATTTCTTATTCCGTGTCTGAATGATTTATTTGTAAGGTTTGAATCCAGAGAGATGGGGAAGGGCAGGCAGGGAGGAAGGGAGAGATGGGATGAGAGACAGTGAGGGAGGGGTAAGTAAGTATAGATGTGTAGGGGTCCGGCGCGCATGTGGGGAGTAACAGTGAGCAAGAGAACAGAAAGGAGAAATATAGAGCGTATGAGAGGTCGGGATGTAGAGATATGGATAGCCAATATGTTCCAGTAAGAGGGAGGAAGGAGATCGAAATTTTGGAGCATAAGAGAGGGGGGATGGGTTGTAGAATGTTAAGGTGGATAGCTAAATAGAAAAAGGGATGAGATCGAAAGAGAGGTAGGGGTGTAGCGATGGATAGCCAAACAGGGAAAGAAACATGAGAAATAGAGCAAGCAAGAGAGGGAAAGGAGAGATTTATAGTATGTTAGAGGTTGGGGGAGGGTATAGGTACATGCAGTGGTAGTGAAGTGGACGATATAACTTGGCAAAGAGCGGGCAGTTTTTTTTAAAGACGTTGAATGTAATACGCAACACATTTCTGTACCTTAACACAGAGCTCAGTGAACGCGCCCAAGATCTAAATTTGTTGCACGCAGTTGTTTTTTATCTAAACGTTGAAAAATTAGGCTTTTTTTAGGGGGAGGGGGGGGGGGGGTTTGTGGCAGGTTACAGCGTCATATCTCAAAGAGCCTTCAGGGGTTGAAGCGAGTATATTTAACAATACACAAATTGTTCTTTTGAGAGAGAGGGAGACGGGGGGGGGGGGGGGGGGGGGGCTTTAACATTAAAGAAAGAAGAATTTACAATCGATCGTCAAAATATATGTATCTCCAATCCCTCGATTATTTATATCTTGACATCCACTGTTTCTATTTTTCTATTGATCTTTAGCACAAATTTGATTGAAACTTCCTTTTTTTTTCTTTTTTGGTGAAGTTACAATTATTGATTGGAGGAGATACATACAATTAGTTTGTGGGAAATAAACTGTAATTTTTAAAGGTTCCATTGTCCATGTTGGAGAACTGTGACAGACAATGTAAGGATAGTTTAGGAATGTTAGCTGTGTGTTGGTGGGGTGGGGGGGGGGTCAGGACATTGTGGTTATGGGGTAAGGACATTGTGTGTTGGGGGAGTAAGGACATTGTGTGTTAGGGGGTAAGGACATTGTGTATATGGCTCGCTGTAAGAATGCCAGAGGGAATAATGTGGCGACTGGCCCATGCCATGCCCATAAAAAACATATCCTTGATTGTGATTTTCTTTCATACATGTGCCCCTCCTCTCCTTTCACAAAATCCTGGATCCACCCTTATTCATACTGAGCAATAATTGGCACCTGGAAGAGATGATTTGTTTTTCTTTAGTTGGGAGTCCGTATATGTAATTTAATATTTCTTTCTCCTCCTCCTCCTACTCCTTCTTCTTGTTCTTCTTCATATTACTGACTTTCCCCTAGTGAACTATTTACTAAGCCTTTATCTACTACTTTTTCATTAACGGATCTTTATATCATTTAACAATCCGGCAGCACACTCACTGCGCGAAAGCAATATCGGCCTATCAAATTATGTAGGTCTCTGTTGGTTTGTTTTCGGACTTGGTTTCGAACCCGGGACCTCCCGATTACGAGACCTCTGATCTACCACTGATGAGCCATCGCTCCTCCTTTTATTTTTTTTGTAAAAATACACTTTTTATATGCTGTTTCATACAAACATTTCTAGGGAAAATGTCAATTGTGAGAAAGGCTGAAAAAACATTTATTTTTGAAAACTTTATTTAATAACACATTATTAACGATGGTTAAAGATACTATGTCCCTTTTGCAGCCAACATCAAATTTTGTAGAACTTTGCAGGAATTATGAATATGTCATGTATGTCATATCTGTGAAATGTAAACGTTAGCAGTGTCCTAATATTCAAATCACTTCTTTGACAGTATTATTAAGTATTGAGTTTAGCTAGGCCTACACACACACAGCATAACGTTTATATTCGTGCTTCTACTTTTGTTAGGGGCTACAATCCGGTAGACGGACAGCCCACAAGATCGACAGACAATGATCTTCTTGTATATTTTAACTGAATCTTCACGAGACCGATACTTTGCAAGACCGACAACGAGCCTCCTGAGTTTCATCTGAGGCTTCTTTACAAGAAAACAATACACGAGGCCTACAGACCATCGGTCTCGTTGTGTGTCGGTTTACTGGGATGCCTCGGTTTTCGGGCCTACACAGTCTTAATTAATATTCTACAAATAAGAAGAAACAAGAAGAAACATATAAGCTTATGAAGCATATATTTACATATATTGAGCAATAACGAAAACGCGTTCTGAAGCCTATATATACAGAACCTACAAAATAATGAGGAATATTCACATATACATATAAGGCCTACCAAATGTTATCCGAAATAAGATGTTAGTGAAAACGCATTTTTAATCACCGATACATGTACACCACTAATAACCATTTTTTTATGTTTACATACACTGTCGCTCATATATCTGGAATATTTTAGTTTTACCCCAATTTATGGAATTATTTTAAAAATAATTTAAAAATAATAGATCTGCATGCCAAAAATGAACACCGACTATGAATATAAATAATTACGGACTGGTATTTTGTTTTGGTTGTTATAAGCGTTATGGAAGAGACATTTTGAGTCCAAAGAAGAGTTCGATTGTAGTTGATCTTCCTAACAGAAAACAATGCCTTTCCAGAATCCGTTTTATTAAAATACAGCATATAGAACTTTCAAAAATGCGTATATACATCAATTCCCCCCGACATTATTCAGTTTGGTAAATATTTTGTGTTCTTCTCGTTAACCCCTTTTCTCATTGCTCAATAAGGGATGGGGCGTCCCCCATCCCCGCAAGACATGTCAATGTGCAATGTACCAATTGAATGCAAATTTGCTTTACACCAATATGCAAACATAATAGTATCGATAAGACTTCAGACTTGTCCATAATATATAATTTTAAATGCACACAATTTGTATATTATATACAGCAAGTCAACATATTCAACTAAATTGTGCTTCTAAATGATATTTGCTACTACTGCAGGGCCCCGTCTTACGAAGAGTTACGATCGATCCAAATCAACGGTAAGTCCTCCAATCAATCGCAATTTGCAGTTTCCTATCTCTTATGTACATAGTTCCAATTGATGTCAACTCTTTGTAAGATGGGGCCCTGGTCTCAAAATTAATAAGCGATATTTTACATGAAATATTATAAACAATACACATCAATAGAATTCTAAATATGATACTTTATGCACTTGTGTTGTAGATGCAAATTTGCTCAGATGCTTCGGAGTTATGGCACCATCGTACTGTCCACGGATGACCAATGGTGTGAGAATTGAAAAAATAAATATAGGACAAGTTGATCTTACTTAAGAAGATCATGAATACTATACTTTACACGTCATTATGTAGATATATATATATATATATATATATACAAAGACCCTATATTTTATGACATAGTATAATGATGAACATCACTTAAATTGACTGAGCTCCTTACAAAAGAGGAACACTTTCTTGGGTATAATGTACATGACTTTGTATAGTATGGGTAGCAACAATGTCTGCCCGTTCGAGGATTCCAGACACGTTTCCAGTTAGTTCAAGAACTTCACATCCTCACCTCATAAAAATACATCCCTTACCATGCAAAAAGAAGATCGCGTATATACACTACAGTGTGGGATTATGCTATTTACACTGCATGTCTTATACAACTACCAAACTATAATTATAGTATTATGTGCACATCTATTCGAGCACAATTGGAGCTTAGTTCGAACATTTTTACATCTAAACGGCGATGCAAATTCCCGGAGGCCACGAATTGGTTTTCGAAAAATTGCATAACAGAGCTTGCACTTGTAAATTTGCACATTATTTTAGGGTCCACTTTTCCAGCATACACCGAGATGCCACCAATTTTATGTCCCTTCCAAAGCGTTTCGATGTTAAAGCGGGATCGATGAAGTAGCTTGTTGTGATAAGCAACACACGGGCCATTCTCAGAATAAAAGAAATGAATGTGTAGCACTCGGGCTTGTTGCGTGTTCAGGTGTTTCATCATGAACTCAACGCTTTGGATGTGTTGTTCCAATATTTGCAGTCCAAAATACTCGGCTTCTTTTCGTAGCTGCCGAAGCTCACTCGATGTGATGTCATTGAGGATTCCTCCACGTACTAGGTAGTCAGCAACATGATGGAAGAGACTATTGTTCCTACTGATGACGTAGTTGCCTTGTGTGTCTCTTGGAAATGGCTTCCCTCCATCCAACATGTCGGTGAAGAAAGATTCTTTTTCTCTCATCAACGCCTCTCTGGTTATCATATACGTGCTCCTGGTGTCACCCGTACCAACCGCAATCCCCACCGACATACCGGCCACCGACATACCTGCACCTTCTTTTCTTAACGCCACTTCAAGCGCCTCGAGCGAAAAGAAGTCGGCTTCTTGTTCCAGTAAATCGAACTCGCTAAATCCCCGTGGTAGCACAACTTTGCCACACCTCATGAAATTCAGGACATGGCGAAATATCTCGCCATCCCGGTCAATCAGGTAGTTTCCTTGGGCATCTCTATCAGAAGGGATATCACTGTCTAGCATGATGGCAAAGAAACTGTTCGGGTACCGCGTCAGGGTGTCCCGAGTTGTCAGGTAGATCTTACCGCCAACATTCAAACCAATTTGATTGTCAGATTGCCGTGGCCGTGCAGAATCCATCTTTCTTTTTAGCGGTAGTAAATGTGCTCTACTTGAAACTTACAGCAATGTCCTTCAAATATATAGCATAATTAATCAGCTAGTGCAAACATGATTGCTTAATGATGTGCGAGATAAGCTTGTTGAAACAAAATATACCTTTGACTCGTACGCAAATTGAACCATACCGTATAGAATAAAGAGTTTATGAACTTATTATGTTTGCCACTCTAGGGTAGGGACAGGAGCACAGGCCCATTGTGCCCCCTCCCCCCAACAACAAAAAGAACCTGTTGTTTCTTGGGGTATATTATTAGGGTAGATGGGTAAATAGATTTTACTTGCTATGCATGATACATGACATGAACCGAACAATTACATTTTTGTTAGGCGGAGGGCAATACATTTGAAACTAAAATAATACAAAGCAACGATCAGTGTTTAAACCAAGAAGGTGTCGGCGGGAGGTGCCTAGTTTAAACTGAGTTCCCTCTTAACTGCCTAACTTCCTAATCTCGTTCATTTTACAGACTTCTCACATTTTGTACCCCATTCACTTCCAATGTATAGGTTTATATCTTCTCAAACAACGTATTGATTGATTAAAACTTCCTTCTTCATAACATCAAGTATTGAGGTACATCGAGCTTCCTATACCGATTTTCATTTTGGATCATACCCATAATAATGTACGTGTACAATTTGAACAATTTAAATGCTATACGCATAATGTATAGCCTTCATTGAACCTTGTATAATTATGATTATCCCATTCCATTTTTAACAAATTTCGGGTGCCCGCAAGGCCGGGGGGGGGGGGGGGTCTGTTGTTGGGGACAGAATTAGATACGAGTGACTTGTAAGTGTACTCAAAGTGTACTTTGTATCAAACCCGAGTGGAGATCGCAAAGACAAACACACGTTAGAATTAATATAATCATGTCAGTCATAATAATCACACGATTGTGAATTTGCAAAGCTAAAGAGTGGTAAACATACGACATTAGACAACATTTATTACGTACAATGTAGGCCGAATCCTCTACACCATTATTCAATATTCCGAACGAGCAAAGAGTTTGACAACTAGATTTTTGCCATAATAATTGTCTGAAATTTAAATCAGATTATCTTGCTATTAATATAGGGATGTAATGTGGCCTATATTCATTTTAAGTAATTGGTGTAGCTATATAGAGAGGGCTTGAGGGTATGCGTCCTCAATCGAATGATGAATAAAATAAAAAAAATAGTATGAAAAGTGAGAAAAATAAAGGATGAAATGGAATATGACGAGGAGAGAAAACGCCTTGATCATCCCCTATCCTCCTAATCAGTATTCCTGTATATAAACTCGCATTTCATTTTTCAGGAGCGTTAATGCTCCCAATTGTTTAAAAGCACGTGCTCCCTCATCATTAGTAGACTTGCAATGTATGGGTAATGTAAACGTATACATTGCAAATGTTAATTGACAAGTTTGTGTTTAAACTCTGTTGCGGCACTTCTCTGCGCCCATCATGTTTACCAGTTTCTTCAATTCTAAGAACAAGAGAAAAATCGATGTTTAATTCCCATAATAAAAATTACAGAAGTGCTCAGTACAAATACAACAAATAAATTGTCACAATTTGCCAAAGTTTGTGTTGAATGCTGAGCTAATAAAAGGCAGTCCACATTTTGAGTATAGGCTATTTTGTATATATATATATACACAATGAAGTTAATATGAAGCTTTAATTAGATGTATCTCTCATGATAAACATATACACGACCCATTTTTTTTATTAATGTTATTATGTTAAACATTTCCTCGAAATTCCAGAGTCAGTTTTCCCCTGGATCCGCCACTGCCTGGAAGAGATGATTTTATCTTTAGTCCGTATATGTAATTTAATCTTCTTTTTTCTGTTCCTCCTCCTCCTTTTCCTCCTCCTCCTGCTCCTCTTTCTTCCTCTTCTTCTTCTTCTTCTTCTTCTTCTTCTTCCTCTTCTTCTATCCATCAAAGGGCTAATGCAGCGCCTATCACAACAACTGCATATGGTGTGAGGAAGATAATAAGATTGAGTATTAAATGCCGTAGGATCGTCCCTGAAAGTTTCTTGGAGAGTCGACATGCACTAGAGGGATCGTAATGCAACGTACGGTCAGAACCATCTTTAATGAGTCTTTGGATATTGCTGACTTTTACCTAGTTAACTATTTACTAAGCCTTTATCTATTACCTTTTCATTAACGGATCTCTATATCATTTAACAATCCGGCAGCACACTCACTTCGCGAAAGCAATATAGGCCAATCAAATTATGTAAGTCTCTGTTGGTTTGTTTTCGAACTTGGTTTCGAACCCGGGACCCCCCGATTACGAGACCTCTGAACTACCACTAATGAGCCATCGCTCCTCCTTTTAAGTATTTTGTAAAAATACACTTTTTGTATGCTGTTTCATACAAACATTTCTAGGGATAATGTCAATTGTGAGAAAGGCTGAGAAAACATTTATTTTTGAAAACTTTATTTATAATAACGAATTATTAACGATGGTTAAAGATACTTTGTCCCTTTTGCAGCCAACATCAAATCTGTAGAACTTTGCAGGAATTATGAATATGTAATGTATGTCCTATCTGTGAAATGTAAACGTTAGCAGTGTCCAAATATTCAAATCACTTCTTTGACAGCTAGGCCTATACACACACAGCCAGGCGCGTACGCATGATTTTTTTCGAGGGGGTTTAAAATGTGAAAATTTTGGTCACCCATTACCACAATTTGTTTTTTAAAATAATTTTTTATTAAAAAACAACAACACCAAAACACACACATACAAAATTAAAGGGGCTTCTTCACCCTCCCCCCCCCCCCCCCCCCCCCCCTCTGCGTACGCGCCTGCTCACAGCATAACATTTATATTCGTGCTTCTACTTGTGTTAGGGGCTTCAATCCATCAGACGGACAGCCCACAAGACCGACAATGATCATCCTGTATATTTTAACTGAATCTTCACGCGACCGATACTTCGCAAGACCGACAACGAGCCTCCTGAGTTTCATCGAAGGCTTCTTTACACCACAATAACACACGAGGCCACAAGACCGTCAGTCTCGTTGGGTGCCGGTTTACTGGGATGCCTCGGTATTTGGGCCTACACAGTCTCAATATTTTACAAGCAAGAAGAAACATATAAGCTTATGAAGCATTTATTTACATAAAATGAGCAATAACGACAACGCGTTCTGAAGCCAATTATACAGAATCTACAGAATAATGATGAATATTCACATATACAAGACAGTATAAGGCCTACCAAATGTTATCTGAGATAAGATGTTAGTGAAAACGGATTTATAAACACTGATACGTGTACACCACAAATAAACATTGTTTTAAAACATGTGTTTGCTACTTGAGTGTGCATGCAAAAAATAAACACCAATATTGAATATAAATTAGTACGGATTGGTATTTTGTTTTGGTTGTTATAAGCGTTACATATGGAAGCTGAAAGGAAGAAACATTTCAAGTACAAAGGAGAGTTTGATTATAATAAATATTTCTAACAGAAATCAAATTATTTACATAATCCTTTATTAAAATGCAGCATTTTCCTCCACATGATTCTGTTTGGTTAATATTTTTTTTCTTCTTCTCGTCCCCACTTTTCCCATTTCCCAATAAGGGATGAGGCGTCCCCTACCCCTGCATGAACCACCAATGTGCAATGTACCAATTGAATGCAAATTTGCTTTACACCAAGATTGAAACATAATTTATAGTGTCGATAAGACTTCAAACTTTTCCATACAACAGCATTTTTATATACACACAATTTTAATATTACATAGTCAACAGGTCAACAGCAAGTCAACATATTCAACAATGTCTGCCTGTTTGCGGACCCTAGATACGTTTCCGATTATTTCACGAATTTCACATCCTCACCTCATAAAATACATCCCTTACCATGCGAAAGGAACATCGCGTATATACACTACAGCCTGGGATTATGCTATCTACACTGTATGACTTGTAAAACTACCCAACTATGTAGTAACTATAAAATAACAATATAACCTCAAAGACAAAGATATAAACAGTTACAAGGGGGCAATAACATTAAGGATGGGGGTAGGAGGGAGGAAGCGACCAAGCGGGGTAGGGTGTACTGGAAGGGGGCTGGTCGAAGATAAAATTAATGATACAGCTCATAATTTCCTCTTTAGTCCCACGTTCATGTAATGGGCCTCAATCTTCATCGAAGTTTACTGACGGATAAGGCGATAGAAAAACCTGTAAAATGCTCCTCCAATTATTCTGCGGCAGGACAGTGCCCCTTCAAAGAAGGACTTGAACTCGTCCAGCTGTACATCGGTCAGTTGAGTCGAGCCACCGCCTGCAGCAAGTCGCCCCAGTGTCAGCACCAGTGACGTCATATTGGATGTGGACTTGTTGTTTTTGCTATAAGTTTCAAGCGCTTCCAGCGAAAGACCTAGTTTGTAGTCGTGCACAATGACAGCTACTTTTTTCTTTCCTGTTTGAGGATAGAGGTAGGAAAACAAAACTTGACTTTATTGGTAGCAGGGTAACTAATTATTTCCTTCAATCTTAGTTTAGATTGAAGGGTTACTCCCTCGCGAAGGTATTTGCTCTCTATTTGTATTACTACAGACACGTTGTATTTTTCCCCTCATAATTCGAGGGGATAACGATCCCATCAGATTTTTTTCTTGGGGAGATACCCCTTCGGTCGAACCAGACAGGGCCGGATAAAGCCGGCGGCTATGGTGGGGGCCCAATTCGTGTGAGAAAAAAAATAAAAAAGGTATGATATCATCTTCTTTTTTTTCTTCATTTTTTTTTTTCTTTCGCAGGTAAAATTGTCGTTACCATCTTGTTTCAAAACTTTTTTGGGGCCAGGGTTGGGGGTCCGAGCCCCAATGCCCCACACTGGAACCAGATAAAAATTGATTGAGGCCTTCGATGTATGTCGGACCATGTTCATTATTAATGAAGAAGAAGAGAATATCAATATATCTTTAAAAGAAATAAAATGAGGAAAAAACCCAGATGAGCTCGAGAAAGCCTTACCCAAGCACCTCTTTGCCTTGTACAAGAACTTGTGATAGATTGAGTTGGATCCGAGTTCGGAGCAAAAGGGTCCCTTGATATCCATAGAATGACACAGAAGCAAGGCGTCAATTCCACAGAATTCGAATTCCTTCATGTCTGCCATGTTGTAGGGAAGAGGCATAAACTTCAAGTCCGCTGGCTCTACCACGTCTGGCATATTCTCGGTGATATGTCGGATAAGACCTTGCACGCTGTCTTCCCCAGAATTGCTGCAGACGGCAATGCTCAATCGATTCTGTATGCAATGAGATATTAGATGGACAAAATAAGATTTAGAATGAGATACAAAGACGAGTTTTTGTTAAAAGCCCCACTGCTATACTTATAGCTATTTGCAACCTCTATATAGCAAACAATGCCTCATCGGTGCATATTGGTCCCCCAGGATCCCAGTTTTTTAAATTTTAATTGAGAGCTGATTTGATGAGATAACACCCGTCAGTGACCTTGCAGGGAGGTATAATCACTCCTGGCTAAACTAGTGCAGACGGGCTACAAACGCCGCTTTTTGTTGGCTTGTTCTTCTTCTATAAACAATAACAACAACAACAACAAATGAAAGCCCCCAGAGATATTGTCTTACCAATTTTATTCATGATGTCATGTTGTTATTGTTTTTATGCTGATTTTACTTGGTCTTGGATTTTTGTTAATGATTCCAGTTATTTATGCAACACAATACCAGTCAGGTAACAATATCTAACCCCTCCCCCGTTCTCTCTCTCTCTCTCTCTCATTCCCTCTCTCTTTCTCTCCTTTCCTCCACAACGATAATTCCAAAATAATGTGTTTTGTTTTAATATTAGGTGACTAATTTGTCATGCAGTTGATTATATTATACTTAACAAATAATATAAAGTTTGAATTGACACGCATAATTATAAAGACTATCGCTGCCTAATTTTTTTTCAAGAAAAATTGCTTATTTACTACTTTATTATATTTTTAAGTTAGATGCCTATTTTTTTTACATATTGTATTGATATTCTGTTTGAAAAACAAGGTATGAAGGTAAATCTTTAAAGGGAAATTCTGAGTAGCATAGTCGCGACGATAATGTATTGACAAATTTTCACATTTCAAATCAACTATTTTGTATTTTGTTTCATTAATTTCTTATGTATTCTATTATTTTTTTATTTCTTATGTACTTCTTTGTTTATATGATTCGTTATGTTTCAAAAATGTATCTTGATATATTTCAAGGAATACGAGATCAAGAAAAGGCATCAAAAGCACAGTTGGCAGTGTAATAGTGCAATCAAGGAAAAGCAGTATTTTGTACACCGTAACACATGTAAAATATAATTTTTTGTTCACGTGACTACGAAATTTTGCGTGATCTATCTCGTCCTATTTTCGCAATCTTATAGTCTCGAAAGTCGCGGGACACATGAGAGGCGATTATAGTCGCGATCCGCAACTCAAATTCTTCAAAATATCACGATGGAATGAAATTATCAGTTGGGCTAGCTTACCTTTGATTGTTTACAACCCATTTTAATCGACGTGTGAGAAAAGCATAAAAATGTTCAAATTCCCGTTACTGCAAAACAAGATTGAATTGATCAAAATCTCGGACTCAGACAGTCTCCAAATATCCCATCTGCATCTAGCTGTTCCAGGACACAACACCAAGTTTGTACAAATAACTGTTTTGGTTAAACTAATAGAATCATCCGCGCGCATGCAATATATATATATCTACACCACGTGATGTACACAATAATAATGCACTTAAGTTGTACTGTTTTGGTAGAACTAATAGAATAAAATCGTATCATATCCCGCACGCAACTTTAATCACATGATGATGATGTACTTCGTGTTGATTATTGATCTTTCTCAGCGACGGCCCGATAAATTCTCCTCCATATAATTCATGCACCCTCCAAATATCCCATCTGCATCTGTTCCAGGAAACGAACACCAAGTTATGGTATACAAAACTGTTTTACATCACATGATGTACTTCTAATTGTTTATTATTGATCTTTCTGGAGTGACGCGACACGAGGCGACGGCCTGATAAATTCTACTGCCCTGGGAATCGCTCTCCCCGTACGTCGTGTCTCCGCCAAGACATACTTGCTCTGAGAATATAATTTATGCGCGGTCGCAATATCGGGGAATCCCAACCGACCATAGACAAATAATATAACGTCATGCAACAACAATCAAAACCTTCTCGCTTGGGCTGATCATGAGAACATTGTGTATATACCTGATATCGAGCACCATAAAACCAACAAAGGCGCATGCAGTGGCAAATCGGTGGGATGACGGGGGGGGGGGGCGAAAAAGTACACATCGAGTTGTCATATAGACTGTGTCCTCCATTGATAACTATAAATCTGTGCCCTGTCGGCTAATTCACATATTTCTCAATGATTTTCATGATGACATCTTTTGCTGTTGCTAGCTTGTCCTCAACGGCACAGAATGTAATTCGTTTCACTCATCAAATTCAATATTTACATTGCTCAACTTTTCGTTATAGTCATGCGAGACTAAATTATTGCATGCATGAACAGCATTAAACGGTATACAATAGGCCTATGATTATTCTGCATATAGGAGAATGCATGTTGCAGTGCGTTTTTCTACATAACATTATAGTCCATTACAACCATCCAAATTGATGCATTCTAATATCTGAGATTGTGGTTCATGTGAAAGTGAAATAATGTTCATGCTATTCAGGATGTGAGAGAATAATCATCATAAATTAAGGGAACCAACCTCTCTCAGATGGTTCAATTGGGTGATAACAAGAAAATCAGAGAAGGGGTTCCTGAAAGTTAGAACCAAGTCTGTGAAACACTATACAGTGCGTCCCAGAAAAAACGAAACCGAGAAGTATCGATGTTCTATCATACCTTAATCACAACCATAATTAATGAATGATACATATTTGGAAAGCTTAGAGTCTCCTCTTTCATGTGATGCTACTCAGATGATGCATATTTCACGCATGAGTGATTAAAAGCAATTTGAAGGAAGGAAACCAAAAAGACATTTGGCGGGCGGTATCTGAATTTCGAAGAAAAATTCACATTTCTAGAAAGTTGAGTTGCTGCCCTTTCATATGACACCTCGATCAGGAAAAATGAGCGAGGAATAACAAAGTTCTGTTTGTTTAAAGTAGCCCTTACATTTTCATAATTTTAACAAACGAATTCGTTTTCACTGGGTGCCTGCCGTAGCAAAAAGCAGATTTGACAAAAGACTTAACTCCGTTTCGTTGACAATCAGCCATGCATGAAGACTCTCGTCTACGGCTGATTGTCAACGAAACGGAGTTAAGTCTTTTGTTAATTTCGTTTATTGATACGGCAGGCAGCCAGTGAAAACGAATTCGTTTAATAAAATTATGGAAATGCAAGCACTACTTTAAACAAACAGAACTTTGTCATTCCTCGCTCATTTTTCCTGATTGAGGTGTCATATGAAAGGGGAAAAACTCAACTTTCTAAAAATGTGAATTTTTCTTCGAAATTCAGATACCGCCCGCCAAATGTCTTTTTGGTTTCCTTCCTTCAAATTGCTTTTAATCACTCATGCGTGAAATATGCATCATCTGAGTAGCATCACATGAAAAAGGAGACTCTAAGCTTTCCAAATATGTATCATTCATTAATTATAGTTGTGATTAAGTTATGATAGAACGTCGATACTTCTCGGTTTCGTTTTTTCTGGGACGCACTGTATAAGAAAGGAATACATTTTTAGTGTTATTTTGTTTTCATAGGTTATTATTGTATTGGTGTGCACCTGGTGTGATCACATTATGTATGTGAATGAGTAAGTTGAGTGTGACTGAAAGGGACAACTCTTCTGTTGAAACTCATTATAAATAGCTCCGTTTCAATGCAATGCATGTATCTGATATAAAACAAGGTAATTTTGCTGCAATCCCTCATCTATATAATTATTCTTTTTTAATTCCCTGATCTGACCTGATACCTGGGCCCCATCTTATAAACAGTTGCGATCGATCGTGACTTATTTGTGATGGATATTAATCGCAACTATAGTCACATCAGCGAAAAGAGGCCGCAAATTTATGTTCAATTAGAGGACTTGAGATTGATTAAAGATAAACTTGAGTTCTGGTAAAAAAAAAGAAAATTATTTCTCACAGAATCAAACGAAACTTACACTGAATGTTCAAGATTACAAATAAATAACATGTGCCAAACAATTTTGGAAGAAAATGTATACTGGCTGAGTAATGAGCATATAAAGGAATCAAGGTAGTACCAGCCCCGACACCATGTGTGTTGTCCCATATATAGCTTTCTGTGTATGTGCTTGTTACTTTACCAAGACTCGGTCAAATTTATTATGATTTTGATGACTCCAGAACCTTGCAGTGCACACCAATACTTACATGCTACATGATCAACTGTTTCTGATCCTTTCCACACCTTTTCTTTCACAATGCAATCGCATTACCAGTACTAAAGTTTATCTTTAAGATCAATCGCAACTCTTTAAGACGGGGCCCTGGTTTAACAATTCATGTTTTCACGTTCCCAATATCCTAGTTATAAAAAGTTTCGACTAAATCAAAATATCATCCATTCCAGTTTCAGCAAATTTTCTTTCAGGATTAATTAAAATATGTTGCTATAGGTTCTCCCCAAACAAAAGATCCTCCCCAGTTATATATAAAGTTCCAAAAAAATATAGGCCTAAAATATTTTCAGTCATTTTGAGTTAATTCCTAATATGACAGTTGTCCAACAATGTAGTACATTATACTGAACTTATTAATTTACCAATGTGAAATTCCTATATAATGTTTTCAAATTAAAATCCATCACTTTCATTTTTTTCTCTCCTGATTTCATTCATATTTCGGCTCCCTTCCTTTCAAGCAACTTACTGCAAGGTTTAGATTGCCCTGTAAAGTTATCATAGAAAGAAACAGAATATCAAAATGGCAACCTGTTACAGAGAAAATTAGTATAGACTGATTACCAATACGAGGACTATAAAATCATTGCAGAAGAAGAGAATAACACGGCACAATCTTACTTTGATATCATGTTCTTTCTTTATTTTCAAATGGATTGTCTACCATGATTAATTTATTCGATAACGAAACATTATCAATCAGAAAATATTCTTATGTATAATCAGATACATTCATTATTACTACTACTATAAAAAAAAATAATAAATGATTATGAGATCAGTAGAACATTAATCTTTCAACGAATGAAAATATTCGCGTGAAAAACATTAATATTTTGTTTTATCTAAGTAAAAATATAAATCTAAATTGTTGTTTATACCGGCCGCCATGGTGACCCAGGTCGTCTGCTAGTGAATGTACGTGTCAAAGGTTGTGCCGCAGTGCAACGTCACAACCACGGTAAACAATAAGGGTCGCATAATGATATTATAACCAAAAATGCACGCTGAATAGAACATAAATGCACGGCGAATATAACCAAAAATGCGCGCTCAATGACGTAGTCGTTCAATAGATTATTTATTGAATATCAGACCGAAAATCCTCCAATCAAATGACAAGGATCTACTTAGATATTACGTAGATGATAATAACGATGACATACTGATAAGAATTCCATTATGCATTTGCAGTGCGTAGGTGTCTTTGTTATTCTATATGCGTTTATGTCAAGTCTGCGAAATCTGTATAAAACTGCTAAAACAAATATAAACATTACTTTGTCTTACTTTGCAACAAAACTATATACGCTAAGAAAACCATTAGCATTTTTAGCAAACTGAGGTAAATGAAATCTAAAAATATCCGATACATGCGTGCCGGGCTAAGAGCTACATCTTTCAGGATAACCGATTGATATACATACCACTCCATATTGATCTTTTATCGGGTCCTAGTGTATTTGCACATTAATTCGAGTACAATTGGAGCTTAATTCGAACATTGTGACACGGCTCGTTAACTTGGTTGAGAAAAAATTCGAAACAGAGCTTGCACTTGTAAATTTGGACATTATTTTGGGGTCCACTTCTCCAGCACAGATTTCACCAATTTGATATCCCTTCCAAAGCGTTTCGATTGATAAGCGGGCACGATGACCGACAAGTAGCTTGTTGGAATAAGCAACACACGGGCCATTCTCAGAATAAAAGAAATGAATGTGTAGCCAGGATGGTCGTTGCATCAAGGACTCAACGCTTTGGATGTGTTGTTCCAACATTTGCAGTCTAAAATACTTGGCTTCTTTTCGTAGCAGGTGAAGCTCACTCGATGTGATGTCATTGAGGATTCCTCCACGTACTAGGTAGTCAACAACATGATGGAAGAGATTATTGTTCCTACTAATGACGTAGTTGCCCTGTGTGTCTCTTGGAAATGGCTTCCCTCCATCCAACATGTCGGTGAAGAAAGATTCTTTTTCTCTGGTCAATGCCTCTCTGGTCATCATATACTTGCTCCTGGTGCGACCCGTTCCAATTACCGCAATTCCCACTGACATACCTGCAGCTTCTCTTAACGCCACTTCAAGCGCCTCGAGCGAAAAAAGTCGGCTTCACGTTCCAGTAAATCGAACTCATTAAATCCCCGTGGTAGCACAAGTTTGCCACACCTCATGAAATTCAGGACATGGCGAAATATCTTGCCATCCCGGTCAATCAGGTAGTTTCCTTGGGCATCTCTATCAGAAGGGATATCACTGTCTAGCATGATGGCAAAGAAACTGTTAGGGTACCGCGTCAGGGTGTCCCGAGTTGTCAGGTAGATCTTACCGCCAACATTCAAACCAATTTGATTGTCAGATTGCCGTGCAGAATCCATCTTTCTTTTTACTGGTAGCATTTTTAACTGGTACTTCCTTGTTTAATGTTCGATCTTTTCGCTGCGACAGCCCGATGAATTCTTCTCCATATAATTCATATACAATAGCCTCCAATATGCCATCTGCATCTGTTCAACACGAAAGGGACACGAACACCAAGCTTATACCAATAACCGTTTCGGTAAGAGAATCGTACCCGGTGTTTTATTTCCCGCGCGTAATCTACATCACGTGATGATGATGATGTACTTCGTATTAATTATTAATTTTTCCGCATCGACGGCCCGATAAATTCTACTACCCTGTGAATGCTTCCGCTCTGCACTTCGTGCCCTGAGCATATAATTTATGCGATGTCGCAATATCGGGGAATCCCCACCGACTAGACATTACGTCATGAAACAGCAATCCAAATCATCCCGCTCGGGTTGATCATGTGAACACTGTGTGATATCGAGCACCATAAAACCATGGAACTACGTATTTCGACAAAGATAGAGCAGTGGCGATTCGGTGGGATGGGGAGGGGGTATACAATATGTCTATGACTATTCTGAGTATATATACCAGGGCTGTCAACTTTGGGGAACTGCTTCGAGGAAGATCGTATGATTTTATTTTTTTTTTTTTTTTGGGGGGGGGGGGGGGGGGGGCTCAACAGGGACGGGGGGGGGGGGGGTGTTGAGTAAGAAAAAAAATCGAAGTGCTCACTACCCCCCCCCCCCCCCCCCCCGTTGAGCAAAAAAGATCTATACGATACGATATACGCTGGTTTATTTTACACGTTTGGCGGGAGGTTTTTCAATAAACCGGGAGATTGCGGGAGAGCGGGGGGAGGGCGTGGTGGCGGAAGTCTCCCGCTACTCGTAGCTGGTGGGACGGCTGGAGAATGAGCGCACATGGTGGCGTGAGGGTTGACAGCCCTGATAATATATACAGATTATGTTACATATATTACAGTGCGTTTTCTCCATAACATTATAGTCGAGTAACCATCCCAAATTGATGCATTGTAATATCTGAGATTGTGGTTCGTATGAAAGTGAAATAATTTTCCTGATGACATGTTCAGGATGTGAGAGAATAATCATCATAAATTAAAGGTAAAGACCAGTATTGGAAACGCCCCAATTTCAAAAAATGAAATGGAAGCTCTCATTACCAATCATGTGAAAGAATATGTTTTGACTAATACATGATGATAAAAAATTTGCCGGGAAACCGCCTACTAATTCATATATTTGGTAAATTTGTTTCTCTCATGGTCTGGTGAGAGATATAGGGTAGTCCCATATACATCTTTCTGTGTATAGTGCTTGTAACTTTACGAAGAATGGGCCAAATTTCTTATCATTTTGATGATTCCAGAACCTTGCAGATGCTAGATGCTAGATGATCAACCTTTTCTGATCGATTCCACAACGTTTCTTTCACAATGCAATCGCATGACCATTACTGGTCTTTACCTTTAAGGACAGCCAACCTTTCTCAAATGTTTTAATTGGGTGATAACAAGAAAATCAGAGAAGGGGTTCCTGAAAGTTTGAACCAAGTCTGTCAAACACTATAAGAAAGGAATACATTTGTTATTGATGTGATCCCATTATGTATGTGAATCGATAAGTTGAGTGTGACTGAAAGGGCCAACTTTCCAGTGGAAACTCATTATAATGAGCTCTGATACAATGAGATGCATGTATGTGATATAACAAGGTGATTTTCAAGTTGCTGCAATCCCTCCTCTGTATACAGTGTACAATCATCCTTTTTAAAACCCCAATCCGAACTGATTTCTGGGCCTCATCTTATAAACAGATGCGATCAAACCCAACTTAATTGTGATTGATATCAATCGCAACTATGTGCATAAGAGATAAGAGACTCAATTAGAGGTCTTGAGATTGATTTGGATCAATCGCACCTCTTTATGCGACGGGGCCCTGACTTAACAATTGATGTTTTCATGGTCCTAATGTCAAAGTTATAAAAAATTTCCACTGTAAACTGAAATATTATCCATTCCGGTTTCAGCAACTTTTCATTCAGGATCGACTAGCACATAATATGTTGGTATAGGTTCTCCCCAGTTATTGAGTTTGAAAAATATATAGGCCTAAATGTACATATTGAATTACAGTTGTTTGGTGTTTAACTGAATGTGATAACTGTCATACAATACAGAACATCACACTGAAATTATTAATTTTCCAGTATGATATTCCCATTCAAATTAAAAAATATCACTTTCATATTTTTTTCTCGGATTTCATTCATATCTTGATTATCCTCCCTCCCTTCCAAACAACTTGCTGCAAGGTTTGGATTGCCCTGTAAGGTTATTATAGATAGAAATAAAAGATCAAAATCACTGATCACCGATAGGAGTACTCTGAAATCATTGCAGAAGAAGAAAATAACACGGCACAATCTTACTTTGATATCTGTTCTTTCTTTATTATCAAGTGGATTGTCTACCATGATTGATTGAAATTGATACTCGATAACGTTACATTATCAATAAGTAAATATTCTTATTTATTCATATTAAACATATATATTCAACATTATTAATTCATCTTTCTACAATCTCCATATATATTCAACAGTATTTCCACCCAAAAAAATCCATTCAATTTTTGTTAAGAGCACTTCCATGCAAATGTATAGATAAAACTATGACCAACGATTGTCATTTTGTCCAAATGATAATAATCTTATCACAAAATACTAAAGAAATGCTAAATACAGAGATATATATTAAATGCACATTTTACCTTGAAGAATGCTTAATTTACTTCGTTGCAATAGTTTTATTCACTTACAACATACAACATGTAAGCAGCTGCGTAATAATGGAAAGAAACATGGAAGATTTGTCAAATTCTGGAATCTTTTTTTTAATGCTATCACAGCTCCAACAGCAAGAAAAGAAGATCAAAGCTGGTTCCTGTTTCATGCAACTAGCTTCTTGTTTGAAGATCACAAATTTGGTTACAGCTAATGAACTTCACGGATTTCAGTTGCTTTTATCAATTACTGTAGCTTGTCATTGATGACATGTACATGTAGCTAGTTGTATGAAACAGACTAGAACCCAGCTGTAAATTATCTTTCTTTTATAATGAAGGATACCTTGGGTCTCCTGCAAAAAGAGCTATCTCTATCAAAGTTGAAACACAACCCTAAAATTAAACGCAAACTAATTGTTCATCCAATCAGGAACTGAATATTGAAGATTTGCTTAAAAATGTTATTCAGTCCCACTTACACCAAATTTTGTATACAGGAAGCCCCCGATTTTCATTTCAGTCATGTGAAATAAGTTTAGATGATACAATGTGATTAGATGTAGTAACAAGTATTATTCAATTTGTTTCATGAATAATTTCACTTCTGTTCACCTTGTGAATTTCAGTATGCATGAACATAATTAAAATGTATTTAATTATATAATAATATGCTTATATATTTTTTAAACTAAACAACTAATATTCATCCTGAAATCATGTTGTTCTCATGCAACACAATTGTTTTAAACACATGAGATTTACATGATAGTTATTCAATTAAAACAAATGACAATTTTACGTACACTCTCAAATCTATCATACAACAAGTTTTCAGTCTAGAGATCTGTTTTTCTATTTACCTGTATAATGAGAGAAAAGTCAAAAGGCAAAATTTGTGATAGAAATATCCATCATTATTGCATATACACAGCAGCATATTTCATATGAAAGCTGGTATATTAAATCCTGAGCCTTTTCATTAGGTAGGTGACATCAAAAGTCAATTCCAAGACTAAAGTGATATACATGTACATCTCATATAATAACAATAATAATAATAATAACAGTGGAATCTTATATAGTGCTTTTATTTCCATGTTACAAAACCACATGCACTATTCTAATAAGAGGAGGAAGCCCCAGGGTATAAGTCCACCTGCACAAGTACAACCCAATCAGTTAAACCAAGAGAAGAGACATGATTTATAATAGAAGCCATTTTATAAATGCCCCACACCTCCCGCTCAATCCACTTATATTGTTCCTCGTTTGTTCTATATAATATTGTTTCCTTCATCACACGTGAAAGCATTAGATGACGATGATTAATGATAGTTTATAATATTGTGAGACACACATATCAATGATCATTGATGATGTAACTTATTATGCTTTTTTTGCTTCATTTCGGGCAGTATAAAATCATCTCGCGGGCCGCGTTGAACAGACTGAACGTGTACGTTAAACAAACACACAATATAACAATTTATTCACTTTAAGTAAATATTCACGCAAAAAATTCTCTTAAAAATCATATCAATATCATATTCGAAGAAAACATATAGACAGGTACCCCATCACACAAAACAATTAAACAGCATAAAGATATGTTGAGAGAATGCATGGTTAATGATATTATACACAATGCACTTAATTTATATCTCTTAAAATGGCGCTTTATAGATGAATCTTGTTTTAGCATAATCATTATCATGATTACTATTACTATTATCTTTATTATTATTATAATCATCATAATCATTATCATGATTATTTTCAATGTTATTTTCATTATTATTATCTTCATTATCACAATTATCATCATTATTATTATCATTGATATCATTGAAATTACTATTATTATCATTATTATTATTATTACTATTATTATTATTATTATTATTATTATTATTATTATTATTATTGTTATCATTAATTACTACTACATGATTATAACAATTACATAATGATACAAATTCCATTATGCATTTGCAGCGCAAATTTAAGGGGTAACAATATATATTTGTAAAGCGCTTTGAGAGGGCCTGCAGTCCTGAAGAGCGCTATAAGAATGAGCTAATATTACTATTATTTGTTTTTGTCAAGTCTGCGAAAGCTGTATAAAAACTACTAAAACAATGTACTTTATCTTACTTTGCAACAAAACTATATACGCTAAGAAAATCATAAGCACTTTTAGCAGACTGAGGTAAATGAAATCTTAAAATATCCGATACATGCGTGCCGGGCTAAGAGCTACAGCTCTCAGGATAACCGATTGAGATATACATACCACTCCATGTTGATCTTTTCTCGGGTCTTAGTGTATTTGCACATTAATTCGAGTACAATTGGAGCTTAGTTTAGACATTTTAACAGAGATGAATGGCTGCAGGGTTGAGAAAAAGTCCTTAACAGAGGCTGCACTTGTAAATTTGCACATTATTTTAGGGTCCACTTCTCCAGCATATATAGACTTCGTTACCAATTTCATATCCCTTCCAAAGCGTTTCGATTGATAAGCGGGCTCGATGACCCACAAGTAGCTTGCTGGAATAAGCAACACACGGGCCATTCTCAGAATAAAAGAAATGAATGAATGTGTCACCGGTAGGAATGCTCCGGTAGTTTATCATGCACTCAACGCTTTGGATGTGTTGTTCCAATATTTGCAGTCCAAAATACTTGGCTTCTTTTCGTAGCTGCTGAAGCTCACTCGATGTGATGTCATTGAGGATTCCTCCACGTACTAGGTAGTCAGCAACATGATGGAACAGACTATTCTTCCTACTGATGACGTAGTTGCCTTGTGTGTCTTTTGGAACTGGCTTCCCTCCATCCAACATGTCGATGAAAAAGGATTCTTTTTCTCTCATCAACGCCTCTCTGGTCATCATATACGTGCTCCTGGTGTCACCCGTACCAACCGCAATTCCCACCGACATACCTGCAGCTTCTCTTAGCGCCACTTCAAGCGCCTCGAGCGAAAAGAAGTCGGCTTCACGTTCCAGTAAATCGAACTCATTAAATCCCCGTGGTAGCACAAGTTCGCCACACCTCATGAAATTCAGGACATGGCGAAATATCTCGCTATCCCGGTCAATCAGGTAGTTTCCTTGGGCATCTCTATCAGAAGGGATATCACTGTCTAGCATGATGGCAAAGAAACTGTTCGGGTACCGCGTCAAGGTGTCCCGAGTTGTCAGGTAGATCTTGCCGCCAACATTCAAACCAATTTGATTGTCAGATTGCCGTGCAGAATCCATCTTTCTTTTTAGTGGTAGCATTTTGTACTGGTACTTCCTTGTTTAATGTTGATCTTTTCGCTGCGACAGCACGATAGATTCTACTCCATTATATACAATACCCTCCAATATGTCATCTGCATTTGTCCAGGACACGAAAGGGACACGAACACCAAGCTTATACCAATAACCGTTTCGGTAAGAGAATCGTACCCGGTGTTTTATTTCCCGCGCGTAATCTACATCACGTGATGATGATGTACTTCGTGTTAATAATTATTTTTTCCGCAGCGACGGCCCGATAAACTCTACTACCCTGTGAATGCTTCCGCTCTGCACTTCGTACGTGCCCTGAGCATATAATTCATGCGCGGTCGCAATACCGGGGAATCCCCATCGACTAGACATTAAGTCATGCAACAACATACCAAATCATCCCGCTCTGGCTGATCATATGAACATTGTGTGATATCGAGCACCATAAAACCATGGACCTACGTATTTCAACAAAGATTGAGCAGTGACGAATCGGTGGGATGGGGAGGGGGGGGGGGGGGTATACAATATGTCTATGACTATATATATACCAGGGCTGTCAACCTTGGGGAACTGCTTCGAGGGAGACTGTATGAATTTTTTGGGGGGCTCAACAGGGAAGGGGGGGGGGGGGGGAGTGTTGAGTAAGAAACAATAATCGAAAGTGCTCACTACGGTAAGTTGAGTGTGACTGCAAGGACAACTCTCCACTTTCCTTCAGGATCGACTACAAGTCGCTACAGGTTCTCCCCAGTTATTAAGTTCGAAAAATATATAGGCCTAAATGTACATATTGAATTCCAGTTGTTCGGTGTTTAACCGAATGTAATAGTTGTCATACACTACAGTACATCACACTGAAATTATTTATTTTCCAGTATGAAATTCCCATTTAATGATTTCATATTAAAAAATATCACTTTCATATTTTTTTCCTCTGATTTCATTCATATCTTGTTTATCCTCCCTTCCTTCCAAGCAACTTGCTGCAAGGTTTAGATTGCCCTGTAAAGTTATCATAGAAAGAAACAGAAGATCAAAATGACTGATCACCAATAGGAGTACTCTGAAATCATTGCAGAAGAAAATAACATGGCATAATCTTACTTTGATATCATGTTCTTTCTTTATTATCAAATGGATTGTCCACCATAATTGATTGAAATTGATATTCGATAACGTTAAATTATCAATAAGTAAATATACTTATTTATTCATATTAAACATATATACTCAACATTATTAATTCATCTTCTACAATCTCCATATATATTCAACAGTATTTCCACCAAAACAAATTCCATTCAATTTTTGTTAAGAGCACTTCCACGCAAATGTATAGATAAAACTACAAGGTCCAACCAACGATTTTCATGTTGTCCAAGGAGTGCTTTAGCCCACAGATCAATTAGATATGTAGGTCCTGACATTTGGAACGCTTTGCCACAGGAAATACGAACTTGCAATAATCTTTTGTTATTTAAAAAAAAACTAAAGGAATTATTTCTCTCCAAATATGCTTGTTAACTTCTGAGGTACATTATGTTAGTGCTATTTTTTGTCAAGAAGAGGTACATTAAGGGGCATGATTTTGTATTTTGTTTTATTTTGTAATTACAGAATGTCTTATTTTAAGCCATGTTTTATTTAAACCTAATAATTACCAGCTATTATCTTAGGGGCGTTGCGCTTCAAACATTTATGTTTATGCATTGTTCCTACTATGTATTATTATTATATATTGTAACTGACTTTTATTATCTGTAAACAGTTATTTTACATGGTGAAAAAATAAAACAAACAAACAAACAAAATGAAAATCATCTTATCACAAAGTACTAATGAAATGCTAAATACAGAGAGATATATTAAATGCACATTTTCCCATGAAGAATGCTGAATTTGCTTCGTTGCAATATTTATGTTCATTTACAACATACAATATGTAAGCAGCTGCGTAATAATGGAAAGAAACATGGAAGATATTTCAGATTCAGGAATCTTTTTTTTTTTAATGCTATTTTTGCTTTATTAATGCTAAATTTGTTTCATGATCAATTTCTCTTCTGTTTTCTTTGTAAATTTCAGTATGCATGAATATATTTACAATGTATTTTATTATAATATACTTACTGTATTCTTTAAAATAAAAAAAATATTCTTCCTGAAATTATGTTGATATTATACAACACTTACAATTGTCTTAAAGATAAGAAATTTACATGATACGCACCGTGTAGTTATTTAAAGAGAACAAATGACATTTTACGTACATTCTCAAATCTATCATACCACAAGTTTTCACTCTGTCTGTTCTTATACATGTACTTACATGCATAATGACAAAAAAGTGAAAAGGCAAAATTTGTAAAATTTGTTCATTAAACGATCTATCCACTCTTGTTGAAGCTGTTTATGCAACTATCGTACAAAGTCATCTGAGGCTTTGTACGATAGATGCATACCGTATAGCCACAACTCAAGGGCGGATAGATTGTATATCGTATAACTCATGCACATCCATCATTTGTATAATAAACCATTGTAATAATAAACCTAGCAACTATTCTACAACATATCTCTTTCGTTACACATAAAACCCTGCGCACTGGAAACAGTTATACATGTACCAACATCAACCCTGCAACCCAATTCACATGCCTGCATCTCAACAGTATGCATGTACATATAGAGTACCGAAGCTGTGACGTCATAAAAATCTATTTTGAGAATTTCTCAATTTTTTCTTCATTTTCCGAAAGAACATCAAAAATAATGTCCAAATGTCGAAAACCAATTGAATATGTTAAATATTGGCTGAGATGTGACCATCTGAATAAAGATACTCCCCATAGGAACTCAGTGTTATATGCTCTGGCTCCTAACCATTAGGAGCCAGAGCATATAACACTGAGTTCCCATAGGACATATATTCATTCGGATGGTCATAACTCAGCCAATATTTAACATATTCAATTGGTTTTCTACATTTGGACATTATTTTTGGTGTTCTTTCGGAATATGAAGAAAAAATTGAGAAATTCTAAAAATAGATTTTTGATGACGTCACACTTCACCACTCTATACAAAGACACTAATCATATACACCAGCAATGCAGCATAATAATCACATACCTCAGAATATTGGAATTTGATAACTTTGCACAATTTGGTAAATTGCTTTATAAAATGAAAAGAGAGAACCTCTTCATAGTACATTCTGGATATACAGGTGTACAGACATAATTGTGGTACACAAATTCAAGATTTGGTTCGCTGTGCCACTAATAAAACAAGAAGAGGTTTAATTGCTACATGTACATGTAAATGATCAACTTGGGGGTAGGTGGGGGGGGGGGGGGGGGGAGGGGGCAGCCCTTTCTATGGCCACTACAGAAAAGGCCTTACAATTGTCTTACAACATAAAGTATAACAGTTAAAAATTTGGCACAATTTGGCACCTACTTTGTTAAAAGGATTGAAATGAGAAATGGTCAAGTTAAAAAAATTCAGCTGCTGCTATTACTTAGCCTGATACAGTCAAACCTGCTTTAATGACCACCTGTCTACAAAGGCCACCTGTCTACAAAGGCCACATTTGTTATTTCCCTTGAAAATGTTTTCTTATTGAAACATGTACTAAAGGAACCTGTTTACAAAGACCACCTGTCTACAAAGGCCACTTTTTGATTTTCCCTTGGGCAGTCGTCATAGACAGGTTTGACAGTACGACCAGACCATTTGAACATACACGGTATTTACACTGTACATGGTATTTATTTCAGATTGCTGCTACAAACTGTCTTTACTTTACAATTTATTTTCACTCCCAGTCACTCCAAATGTATCTGATGTGTATCTATATTTACTTCACACAGCTAGGGAATGTTCTTACCGTTTATATTCAATTTTACAGATAAGACACATGTATTGCAGTCATATTGGCTTGACGAAATCTTCATAATGCTTAGGATAATACCATTATCATCATCCCTATTATCATCGTAAGTGTCATCGTCTCCATCATCATCATTCATCATCATCATCATCATCATCATCATCATCATCATCATCATCATCATCATCACCACCACCACCATCATCATCATCATCATCATCATCATCATCATCATCATCATCATCAATCATCATCATCATCATCATCATCCTCCTATTCCTCATCATCATCATAATTTATATGTAGGTTCTCTCAATACTCTTCTTCATCTTACTCCACATGAAGCTAACTCCTGATTTTATACCATGCATGCATCTTTCCATCTTCACCGATGCAATCCATCCATCTTTTCTCCCTCTCAATGTTTATGCTGGCAAATGCACATGAAAGGGTTTCAAGATAATGCCAAAGTTATCGATATAAAAGTATAAAATTCGGAAACCTCATGGTACAGTAGGCGTTACAAGGAGATGATCAGATCGGTCATTTGCTGGATATCCTCTTTGTTCTTCTGGATATAACACTGCGTATCAAAGAGCATCTTTGAGAGCACATGATCCCTCGTCTCATCCATGGAGATCTCCTGGCTCAACGGAGGGCTGAAGCGGAAGAACGGCGTGCCGATCGAGAAACACCAAGCCCTCGCTCGGTCAACGGCACGCATTCTTGATTCAGTGACCTGGACAGGAATAGTTTGATAAATGAAAAAATATGAGAAGTGGTATCATTATTATTATTATTATTATTTATTCGGCATAAACAAAGAAAATCATTGAATACAAAACAAAAGTACATTTGGAAAAGAGTCACATGGATGCTGGGAAGAGAAAGAGATTAACTAAATAACTGCGTTGTCTACAGAGAGAAACATTGCGGTTCTGTAAGTGTGAATAATAAACAGATTTTCATAGCTCAAATTGAAGATTTTATAAACCTAAAAAAACATGGCATTTGCTTACAGCTCTCATCATATTTCTCAAGAAAATCCAAAATGATCTTGCTTTTTAAATTTTCACTTAGATTATTCAACATTTTGAACTTTCTATTCCTTTACATTGACACAAGGAATTAAAAGCGTATTTATAAGGTATAATAATTTATAAGGTATAATATTTTTTGTATAAAGGTCTTTAAAAAATCTATAATTTCATCATGTTTGTTTGGAGCCAGATGGCCATTACCTCTGTAAAACAATCGATGTAAACTAATTCCCTTTTGGCTCAAAACAGACAATCCTTTCTTTCTCATTGAAAAAAAAAAATCAAGTCTTTGGATAATATATAATTTTATCTATATAAGGCTTCCCAGTGGTACAATAAATCGGTGTATTCAATATCTTTAGTGCAGTACCCAGATGACTGACCAACATTGTTTTCGTATCGATATCGATATCATATGAAAATAAAGCCATATTTACTGGGGTAAGTCAAATCATGTTATTTCGCTAGTCAGACTAATATAGATAATAATAATAATATTGTATGGCTTTGTTTTCGTATGATACAAGAATATATTGCTCTCGCTATAACAATATTAGACTTGTCTTTGAACCGTCCAATATTGTCATAGCTCAAGCAATATATATCTTGTAGCACACTCAAAGCCATCCAATATTATATAAATATTCATTTATTGAATTCAGTGTTTTCTGTGACCACTGTCATTGGAAATTCATTCCAAGTGACTACATTTTTGTTGTTGTATAGACTGACCTGCTCAACCATGATGTCTATCAAATTGGCACCTGCTGCAAGTGACTTGGCAGCACTGAGCAGATCAACAGCGCTGTTAGGTCTCATGATCTCTACGTGGGCTATGGGCTTGAGGGCTGTAAGCCCAGTCCCGAGGGACACAACAGCACCTATCTTACGCACTGGTTCACCCTGGTGGTTTGGGAGGGGGATGGTGGGAGAGGGAGGGAGGGAGAGGGATGGAGGGAGGGAGAGAGAGGTAGGGAGGAAGGGAGGGAGGGAGAGAGAGGTAGGGAGGAGAGAGAGGGAGGGAGGGAGGGAGCGGTTGAGGATTGGTGGTGTGAACAAAGAATAATATTAGAGAGGAAAACTATAAACAAATTGAAGGACAGGGAAATCATTTTTTCTAGAATTCAAGGCACAACACCATGGAGCTTGGGTATCAAAGACAAAATAAGTAATCAAAGTGTTTCTCCATTCTGTCTATGAATAACTGATACTGATGAAAGAAGCTATTTGAGTATAATTTATATCTTTATTCATTTTAGTTTTGGAGGAAAGAACACAAGTATAAAGAATTACTGGAATGTCAAATAAGGGAAAAAGTTAAAAGGTTGCATTCATAAATGACAACAGTCGGATAAAATAGCTATTTGGAATCAACACCGTCTTCAATTTTGTTGCATGAAATCATGAAATTGTCTTCATCAATGATTTCTCAGCATGGTACATTAGGGAGGTCAATGTACATTTATACTAACACTTTTTGGCATCATTTCACTATTATTTTGACCAGGGGCAAGGTATTTTTCATTGATTACTTTGGAATGCCATTTCATATGAATGATGGCAATGCAAACGTACCTGTAATTTCTTATACATGTAATACTCCTGGATCTCCGTCAGTGCGTCTAAGGTCGGATTGTTCGCTATGAGACCCCCGTCCAGGAATCGCCCCATCGGTCTGAAGTACGTGGGTGCAGCTCCACTTGAACGGGCAGCCCTCCACATGAGTTGCTCTATCAGGAAACAAATGAAAAATGAAGCATTTACAGAGTGAGGGTAAGATCCCAGAGAGCTGTATGGATTATTAGAATAGGGAAGGAAGAGAATAGGTACAGTAGATAATATGGAAAAAGCAGAAAATGGAAAGGGAAAGTATGATAAAATGATTGCTAATAGAGGCAGGGTGAGAGAGACACAGAGAGAGAGATACACATAAACAGACAAAGATAACACGCTTAATGCTTAGTATTAAACAAAAATAGAATAGCTTTCAACTGAGAATTTATGAAGATGGAGAGACAGAGAGAGGGAGAGAGAGAGGGAGAGAGAGAGTCAAATAAAAACATAAAGGAAGACAGACAGATATATCGTCGCTGTTTTCACGAAGTGACGGTAGTGAAAAAAAAATTGCATTCACTTTGAGTGACGATTTTTCTCACTACCGCCACTTCGTGAAAACAAGGACGATATGTTTGTGTGTCATTTTGAACAAGGGGATCACTTGAAATAATTTTCATATGAATATCATTATTTAAAAAAACACATGAACCTATCTAAAGTAGAGAAATTTGCGTGCCCGATGCAGTTTAACACCTGAAACGCTGAAACACCCAGAAACCTTAGCAGTTGAAATTGATACTGAGCAAACAACAATCAACGTATCTTCTGTAAATGATCTCAAGTTCTCTCTCCTCTCGCTAACCTGATGGTTTTAGAACTGGCAGGAAAGGTTCCTGATTGGCCGCTATCCAAGCTGATGACGTCTCGGGGGCGTTGTAGTTACGGAACAGATGGAGAGCAGGAGGACTTCTGTCTCCTAACGTCCCAGAAACAAGGATTCTACAAATTGGGAAAATAAGTCAACGGTAAAAAGCATTTAACTGGTGTAAAAGAGCAAAAATGGATTGTTCTGGGTTTAGAGGAATTGTATTGTGTGATTTTTTTGCATATTTACTTGTCATGTACTACAGGTAGTCACCTCAATCAGAGAATGATGACTGGGATTATAATATCTGTATAACGTTTATAGATGGTATTTCTCATTAAGTGCTACATAAATCCACACTATCATCATTATCAAATCCTAATCAAATACATTAATAAACGTATGTGCACAAATAACCTCATTCATCCCATATCATACCTTGGGTATGTGTATTTATCCATGGTGGTTTCAGCTCCAAAGGTATCCTTAAGGAAAGATTCTAGCTTGTCTGAGTTGTAGGGTCTTGAGCCTGTGAAGACCTCATCCTTGAGGGCCATGTACAGCTTCCTGCATTCCTCTACAGAGAACCCTACAAGGAAAGAACCCAGATACTTATTATAAAGGCCATCTTGATAGACAGACTACCTAGATGAATCTCTGAGTTGTAAGGTCTTGAGCCTGTGAAGACCTCATCCTTGAGAGCCATGTACAGCTTCCTACATTCCTCTACAGAGAACCCTACAAGGAAAGAACCCAGATACTTATTATATGGGCCATCTTGACAGACAGATCACCTAGATGAATCTCTGAGTTGTAGGGTCTTGAGCCTGTGAAGACCTCATCCTTGAGGGCCATGTACAGCTTCCTGCATTCCTCTACAGAGAACCCTACAAGGAAAGAACCCAGATACTTATTATAAAGGCCATCTTGACAGACAGACCACCTAGATGAATCTCTGAGTTGTAGGGTCTTGAGCCTGTGAAGACCTCATCCTTGAGGGCCATGTACAGCTTCCTGCATTCCTCTACAGAGAACCCTACAAGGAAAGAACCCAGATACTTATCATAAGGGCCATCTTGATAGACAGACCACCTAGATGAATCTCTGAGTTGTAGGGTCTTGAGCCTGTGAAGACCTCATCCTTGCAAGCCATGTACAACTTCCTGCATTCCTCTACAGAGAACCCTACAAGGAAAGAACCCAGATACTTATTATAAGGGCCATCTTGATAGACAGACCACCTACAGTGTACATGAATCTCTGAGTTGTAGGGTCTTGAGCCTGTGAAGACCTCATCCTTGAGAGCCATGTACAGCTTCCTGCATTCCTCTACAGAGGACCCTACAAGGAAAGAACCCAGATACTTATCATAAGGGCCATCTTGACAGACAGATCACCTAGATGAATCTCTGAGTTGTAGGGTCTGGAGCCAGTGAAGACCTCATCCTTGAGAGCCATGTACAGCTTCCTGCATTCCTCTACAGAGAACCCTACAAGGAAAGAACCCAGATACTTATCATAAGGGCCATCTTGACAGACAGATCACCTAGATGAATCTCTGAGTTGTAGGGTCTGGAGCCAGTGAAGACCTCATCCTTGAGAGCCATGTACAGCTTCCTGCATTCCTCCACAGAGAACCCTGCAAGGAAAGGAGGCATTTGGAAACTCGATACAAAAACCACCTTTATAGAAAGATCTGTGTACATAACTAGATTGTAGCAGTTATGAGTCAGAAAAAACCTTGTCCATGTACAGCTTATGGCATTCCTCTACCGATAACCCTATAAGGGAAGAAAAGATACCCAGTCACAATGGCCCCCTAGGTAGAAAGATCAAGGGAGTGATTACTGCCTATTGTTTTGTGCAAAAATGCATGTGTGGCAAACTAGTGACCATGCAGAGGGTCGAGGAAAGCAACATAAATGTTCTACAGTAATCCAAATTCCCCAAAAGATTTACCTTGTGATAGAGCCAAGGCCAAGATGCCTCCTGTGCTGGTCCCTACTATCCAATCAAACATCTCCACAATCTTCTTCCCTGAAGCCTTCTCTATGGCAGCCAGCATCTGAGTCAAGATCAAGCCCTTGATACCTCCACCATCCAAACACAGGACAGTGTCCTGAGACCGTCGCTGCGAAGGATCGGAGGCACCGTCAGTCGTGTCCATGTGGTCGTCTGTCTCGTCCTTTCCTTGTCTGCCAGTTGGGGCTGATATGCACAGGTCTCCGATGCACTGCGTCAGGTATTTGTTGTAAACTGAAAGAAGATAACAAACAAATATTTATATTGAGATGGTGTGATGGCTCAGTGGTAGAGCAGTGGTCTCGTAACCTGAAGGTCCTAGGTTCAAAACCCTGTCAATGTGCTCATACTCTTTGGTAAGGCATTAATCGGAGAGTTACTTAAAGCCGTTGATCCCCTTGGTTGTTTACTTACAAGCAAATGCATGCTTTCTTAGCAGTCAGGTAAAACAGTCAAACAGTTACATAGAATCAGAGTCGCTACGTTATCACCAATAAAAAAGCTTCAAAAGAAACTGGCTTTGATAAATATTGTACACGGTTGCCCATAAAGCTAGAAAAATTCGTTTATTACCTCTTTTTGTGAAGCGATTGTGACAATCCTGATAGATTAAGTTTATATCTTCTCAGAACTTTATTGATCAATCTATATGACTGTCTAGATTGATCAATAAAGTTTGGAGAAGATGAAACTTTATCTATCCAGACTAATTCATATTATCACAATCTAGTAAATTAACTCTGATTTGTACTGCAGTATATGGCTTATTTGAACCAGCAATTCTGAACAATCTCATGAAACTTGCTGTAATCATATTCAACTATGATTACATGTACATATACCTCAATCAATACTTCATGGTATTCTTAAAATACATATATATACCTCTTAGTTTCTGCTTCATAAAATGTACCAACCATAAAGAAAGGGCGAGTATCAGGATCACAATATACAGATCAGTAATTGGACCAAGGAACTACAACCATTTCGAATAGGAATTGAATCCATCTGAACCAGGACTGTATCCATTGGACTAAGGACTAATACCATTTGGATTAGGAACTTAATATAAACAAACCTTGTGCTCCTGCATCGACCTGATCCATGCCAATCTTAGGGGCCATGCCGTTGTTCGTGCCCCCATGTTTGCACCCTCCCTGACATCCCTTGGTCCCAGGGGGGCAACGCTCTGCCCCTACAGCATGCAGGGCGTAGATCAGCTCACAATTCATACCTGGTAATGACAATAATAAGATTATTAAGGAATTGATCAATATCTAATATACAGGGACAATAATTGAATTACTGATATGAAGCAAAAAGGGGAAAAGAAAGATGAGAGGAAGAAGAAGAAGTAGAAGCAGAAAATAAAGAACATGTAAATATGTAGAAGTAGAAGTACCGTACTAGTAGTAGCAGTATTATAATTAGTAGTAGGAGAGAAGATGAAGATGAATAAGAAGGTGAATAAGAAGAAGAAGAAGAAACAGAAAACAAAAATATATAGAAGTACAGCACTAGTAGTAGCAGTTTAATTAGTATTAGTAGTGTGGGAAAGAAGTAGTAGAAGAAGTAGGAGAAGAAGATGATGAAGAAGAAGAGAGATAAAAACGATGAAAAACATCAGCAAATTTTTCAATCTATTATCATCATCTATACATGATATTACAATACTGATAAATAAAAGTAATGAAAAGTCAAATATAACTAAAAGCAAAAACAATGAAAACTATTTGATCGAATGTCAGCTTGTTTCATTGTGTGAAATGTTTTAAGTGGCAATGACACTTGTAGTGAAGTATGACATAATACAAATGTATGAATTTTACAATCCATATTGTATAAATTTGCATTCATGAAATGAGAGACAAGCATTTAATTACTGAAACATCCTGCATGACAAAATACAAATGACAAAAAAAAAGGGGGGGGGGGGAGAGAGACAATAATGATCTACTTATCGCTCAAAAATGCCTGTACACCTGTAGGTCCGAACATGGTGCTCTCATCAAAAATCATCATAGCTTCAACAGAATGATATGGGCATGGGTGATGCATGACAAACTGATGCTTTAGCCCTTCTAACATTTCATCTTGGCACACACGTAAGATTCTATTATCCAAATCTTTTCAATCACATGTATATATCAGTTTACTATTCATATATATTGTGATTTTCGTATGTATACCGTAGGTGAATGTGCATATGGTTTTTAAAAGAAAACCTGCAGAATATCTTTAACCAAAACTGTTACAGCATGTACTATAAGGTGAAGCTGATACATTTGTATGAACACAAACTTTCCTTTTGTGTTCTTTTACAGCAGGAAAATCCTGTTGGAAGAAGCATACCTTAAGCTCTTCTGTGGCAAGAGATCTCAGAACAATTATCATAGCATAAGCTTTAAGAGTCATGTTTAAGGTGTTTCATAATGGTTGTATTTCTTTGTTCATTTGAACAATTTGGCTTTATAGCATAACTTTCATGGAACATTTTCGGTCAGGTTTTTGCTGCCAACATTAAAACTCAACATAATTTAGACAAGGTTTCACATGTCAGTAGCCTATTATACTGCAAGCAATGGCTGTTATAGGGGCCTACAAATGTACAGGTACATAAACTTGGTATATTTGTGTACAGTGAATCTTTTAATGAAAATGATATGATTTATTTGGTCAAGCTAATGTGTAACTAATTACTTATATTTTCAGCATATGGTTAATGCAGGTGAAAATGAAAGCGTTTTAGCTTTTAGTGTTGGAAAAGAAGCTTACACATGTTAAAGTACAAGCTGATCATGTATAAAGCATACAGTATTGTACATGCAGGTGAGAAACATAAATTAGTTTTAGCTTTTAGTGTTAGAAAAGAGCTTCTGGAATTTGTCTGTTTGATTTCAACCTGAATAACGGTCGACGAGCTGGTCTGGGTTCTGAGTCCAGGGGGCAATAACTAGAAACCCTTGCTCCATCCTCTTCTTAACTCCTTATTATAGCAAACAGCACAACAATCAAAGACCAAAGATAAAAGGATGAGAGAAACACAACACAAATAAATAAAAACACAACCATCTTTATCTACTATAGTTAGTGTAGTGCAGGCAAGAACTTTTTCATGCAAACAAAAATTCAATTAAAGGATAAAAATGCAATAACAATTCACGAACATACATTTAAGTTTTAAAGTATTTCTTCATGGAAGAAAAACAAGAAACTCCCATCCCTGTATCCAGATCTAAAGATTTAAAGTCACAACTTGTTTGATCTAAGGCTTGAATCTTATTTGACTATCAGTAAAATATGTTCAAAACAGTTCACAGACTTGGTAACATTGTTCAGATGAGAGAAAATGGTGTTAACCCTTACTGTACTGGGCTATTTTGAGCACCTTGTGACTGGGTGGGAGGGGGGGGGGCCTGGGAGGCCCCCTCCCTATGATCTCGGCCGTCGAAAGTCTGATGAACGCGAAAATTTGCATGTTTGTAGATATTTACGTAAGGAACAAGATGGTATAATTAGTTTTTTCCTAATATGCAAATTTTTGTCGTTATAGCCTAATTAATTATGCAAAATGCTAATTTGATGCATTTTACAGAAAACTCTTCATATTTGTCTGTAGACTTGTGAAGAATGTTGAAAATGAATTGAATAAATGTTTCCTTCATCTCAAATTCATGAGGTTACATTATTTATATGATATTTGAAAATGCATAGGTTAATTTGCATAAATTATGAATACGCATTCATGAATATCAAATCTAGAAATTATACAGGAAACTAGAATTACAAAAATTGTCAGACTCCACTTTTTGAATGTTAATTGAAACCCATTATTCATAAGAAACTTCTTTTCTAACACAAAATAGTTATTTTGATGTAATGAATAATGATAATTAATGCAAATTTGATGCGATTTTCAAATATTTATTTTCTTATGTATTTTATTGTTTTTCATTTCTTGTTATATCTATTGTTTTATTTCTAATGTATTCTTTTGTTCTGGAATACATCAATTTACTTTGAGAAACATATAAAAGCAATTTGATATCAATTCATAGTATTCACATTTCTGCTTGTACATGAATACATGTATATGCAATAATAGCATATTGTTGAAGACATGCGCATACTAATTGTTATGTAACACCTTACAGGTATATCCGATTTCGACGAAAATGGTATCAAAATGTGCGTAAGACTTGAGGGAAAAAAGTCATGAAACGACAATTCAAAATTCCAAGCGGTCGCGGCGCAATCTCCAAAAATGTCAGGGGGGGCCTCCCAGGCCCCCCCCCCCCCAGTACAGTACGGGTTAAGGTGTAGTGACTTCAATGCTAGATGTACAATTAAAGATAATCTAAAAGTTTGAGTGGAAACAGACGATTATTATTTATTAATGATGGAAATTGGGGGGAAATTAAATTAAAATTGTAAGGGATGTTAGGCGCTATTTGAAAAGTGTTTTAGGGGCTAAATTTTCTAGTGCTTATAAAACATCCACAGGGACATCCAAATATTTCAAAATTGTAAAGAATCACTATACACCCAATTTTCACAATTTCCCAAAACTTTGTATTACCTTTAAGTGACATTTCATACATAAAGTAGGCAGTTTTTTTCATCAACCTTCAACAATCTTACCGGTTCACTTATATCAACAAAAATAACAACATACACACAAAAAAGGGGTTTCAACTAATATTCAGCACTCCATCCACAATACTTTGTAACATGTGGGAGAACAAATGACCATTTACCGTGAACATGCCTGATATTATAATAATAATAATAATAATGGTGGCTTCTTTAATATACAGCGCACATGTCCATCACGTCGTGACACTCCTGGCCTAGCGTCTCTGGTGCTCTTACCCATCATCCCTCCAATGGTGCTGAGGATGTCAGTGGCTGCTAGATGTCTAGGTGATTCCCCTTTGTTGTTGACCTTGTTGGCCTCTGCTCCGAACCCAATCAGGAGGTGAACCGTCTGTAAATCTTTGGTCTGAAAAGATATGGGTAATTCCATAAATTAGGGACCCACTTTGTGACATTTGGTGTCCTACTGACATACTTAAGGAACCCACACGTATTTGTGGCTCTAAGTAAAGAATTACGGTACATAGTGGAGTTAGATTTCCAAGCATAATATTGCATCCTCTTACCTAGAATCACTTAACAATCTCACTCCACTATTTAAGTCTTTACTCAGATATGTGTTTTGGTATGATACAATCTGAGGTAATGTCACTGATTTGTACAAGTTTTCTAATTTCTTTTTAAAACCATATGACAAATCGCTGGGTAAAAATTTGGATTATGTACAGGAATAAATATATATTAATATTAAAAGTTTTGATAATTAAATTGAAGCTTATCAAGATGTCCACTTTCACACATCGAATGACAATGGGATAGCATAATTTTGTGTGACCATAAAATGTTGGCATTCTCATGAAGAAACTAATATCCTCAGAAAATGAAAAATAAGAATAGGATTCTTCTCACCTTGACTGCATGATGAAGTGGTGTATTCCCGTCCCTGTCTGCTATATTAGGGTCCGCTCCCGACGTCATGAGGGTAAGGGCGCAGAGTGGTCGACCCCGCTGGATCATGATGCTGAGGGCAGTATCACCGCTCTTGCTCATGGCATCGATGTCGTACTCCCGCTCGAGGACCAGCTTGATGAATTCGGCGCTCTTGGCCCAGTGGAGAGGGGTTCCTCCGTGCTTGATGCACTTCACCTTACCCTGGCTTCCATGGTTTTCAAGAATGGTCAACGCAGCGCTGTAGGCAATTAAAATTCAAAACAGAAATTAGGATGTGTTCGATCTCCTGGTTGGCCAGTATTTCAGTTGTAAAACCAAATGAAGGTAATGAGTTTGGTAATGAAACTACAGTTCAAGACACACTGGCTCAAGTCCATCTTGTTTTGTTGATCAAGCAATTAATTGTTTCATTTAGACATACAAAGTGAAAACAGTCTGACACAACTTGAACAAAAATAACAAAACCGATAATACAAACACCCAAATGAACAATCAGGACTACATGTTCTGTTATTCAAGACAACCAACTTGCTTTCTTCATCTTTCTTTGCTCATTACTCACAAATGTATTCATTACAGTCCTTTTGATGATATTCAGAGGATTAGATGATGTTTGAAGGTTTGCATGGTGGTTTGAACAATCGTTTTGGACAGGTTGACTATCCGAGTCAACCTGTCCGAAACGTCGAGTCTACTCTCCTGCTCCTGCTCTGCAACTCTACTCGCCGACTCAAGCCAGCTTCTCTCATCTACTCAACTCTCCAACTCAATCCAGTCTTCTACTCAAACCTCTCTTCCTGTCTACAACTTTCTGGTTTACAGTCCTTTTCAGGACTATACTCACTTCCGAAAGATACTCTTCCTTCCAACCTCCACTTTCTCGCCTTTCCATTTCACTTCTATTTCTATCCACTTTCCTTAGTCCTTCTAGGACTTTACACATGTTGTACCGTAAACCTCTTCCGCGATTATTCAGAGGATTATTTGTAATACAAGAGAATTCAATTTCTTACGGTTTAAGAACACACTCCTAAATGTTTTCATTGTTCTACACGTTATACAGGAGCTTAACAGTTTCACATGGGCAATGATGATCTCTATTGGTCATAATACTCTACTACTAATAATATTTTGTATTTTTATAGCGCACACATCCATCATGCAAGGTTACTGCTAGGCTACCACTTTTGGTACTCACATCTTAAAAAAATTCCTTTGTACCGGTACCCATTTAACACGTGGGCGGAGCATGGCAAATGTGAATTAATGTCTGAATTAGTGCCATGGTGGGACTCAAACCGCAAATCATGCAGTCCACTGTCCAAAGACATATTCCCTAGACCGCAACATTCCTCTAGGAAGAGATTTGATGAGTGGCTATAAAGTAGATACTACTAAGACATTCAACTGCCACTACATTACGCTATCGTCACTAACTTACTTAACATTGCACTTTTTGAGAGCGTAGTGGATGGGGTAGCCGATGTTATCATTCATATCTACTGTGGCTCCTGCTTTGACCAGCTTGATGGCTGCATCAAAGTTACCTTCCTGGCAGGCTACCAAGAGAGCTGACTGAGAGGCCTTGTTGGTTCGGTCCATCAGCTCCTTGTCTTTGGATAATACCTGATGAAAGAGAATTATTATCGTCAGTCAATCAAAATGCCTTCGAAGAAAAAAAATAAAAGATTCAAGGATGAAACTAGATGTACAAGGGGTCATTGCACTATTAGCCAAGGTCAATGACATAATAAACCGTATAAACCCTATGAACGCTCTTTGAATACATGACAAGCAGTGAATGTGATGTCCACAAAAATATTTAAAAACAATTTCATGCAGCTGGTCTTCTATACTGAAAACTAGAGGCTTAGCTGTGCAGAAAAAAAAATTACATGTATTTCATCAACTCACAGTCATAACTTGACTACCGAATCCTAGAGACCTTGCAGCATAGTGAAAGATGCCATCCCCATTCTCGTCCGTCATTTCTTCCGATGCCCTGCAATCGATGAGTTGGATAACAGCTTGCATGGACTTACATTCTATGGCTAGTAGCAGTGGTGTCTTTCCCTCGGGACACTTCTGGCTGTTTATGTGTCTGTTTTAATTCAAATCAAAGTCAAATCAATACAGAGCACAAGTCATATCTTGGGTTTTTAAGTGACTGATTGAAAGAATTGATTGAGTTTCACATTAGTATTACCCAATAAGTTGGCTCAGCTTGAATGGAGTTATGGAGTTTTCAAATATCGCCGAAGTTTGATGAATATGCCATACATCTTGTGGTACTGTAGGCCTACATTGAAGCTTTAAAGGGATCCGGTAACTTTGTCTCAGATTCTGAACAAAAATCCTGGATCTAGCTCATGCTGCAATGATAATTATAAACCTTTAGGTCAGTCCGGAACCCCATGACTTTTACAAGCTGATAGCCTGTCTGATTATCAAGATATTTATGATTGGAATTACAAATTTTGAAAAACATTTGCCAAACGATTTTCATAACACTATAGTCTATTGGGGAAAACGAGTATGGTAAAACCGGTCACTCAAAGATTTTTGACTTTTTTGAGGCACTTCTTGATCATTTTGAAGCGCAATTTTTTAGGGCTTCAGACACTGATAACAGGTAGGGCCGTGTATCTCAGATTTAACATTGTTAAACGATCCCTTTAATATGTATAGAATTTACAGCAAGAAATTTTTATATTTTTCTTTCAAGCTTTCATATCTGCCTTTAATAGAAAGATAGTATACATGTAGATACATAGACAATTCTAACAACTAATTATTTATTCATATTGCAAAGTTAAACAAACAAACAAAAATAAAAGATTAAGAGTTCCTTCATAATGTTCATAATGGGTCCCCATATACAAGACCTGGGTCATGGGAAAAAGAAATTGACCTGTTTACGGATACAATCACCAAACACAGATTTTAAATCTGAACCTCATCACTAAGATTCAAATAAACGAATCACTACACCACAAAGCCCCTACTGATGGTGATAGAAATTCTTCAATGATTTTTTCACCAAACATCGGGCCAACAATAATGCCTAACTTTATGTTGTACAGACTACAGGTATGAAATTTAGAATGTAAATATTCACTTCTGAATGATAAAGGCCTATAAACCAAAACAACAACGACAACAGACCGGAAAGAATTCTTACTTGATGACTTCCGGGCATCTAAAGGAATCATTTAAACCTGCCAGCACAGCTGTATGAGCATGGGAGAAGATGTCAGCCCTCCTGGTGATGTCGCTAAGCTTCTGTAATACTGTCACATTGTACAGTCCTTCCGGGCCATTGAAGAATGGCTGGATGTGTTGATGGAGAAGGATAAACCTTGCCAGGGCATCGTCTTCATTTGTCAAACGGAACAAACTAAAGTAATACCAAAGCAGACAATGTAATGTTACTTTATGTAGATAGAAATAAGACATAAGATCACATAGAAACGCAAAGTTGTATATAGGTTAGATAGGTGATGAAATAAAACATCAGCCGCCATATTCTGAAAACGATTTATCTTTTAAAAAAAATATTAATTGTCAAAACAAACTGGAACTAACATCTACCATTGGTACTTAAACATGTTTTTTTTCTTAATTAATTGTGAATGCAGACAGATTTGTGCAGACATCAACAATGACTTGTCCTAATTTTGATTGTCTATGACAATTAATATTATTTTATTATTATAAAGGATAACATTGTTTTCAAACTACCACCCCAGATCAATAAGTACAAGTTATAGCTAACATTGAAACAGTTTATTGATATCAGCAAACTCAGACTAATGATGACGTTTTTTTAAAGATTTTTCCAAAAAATATATTTTGACACTATTTTTCAAGCATCTGTTTAAAATAATTACTGAAAGAATCATTCACTATTTGTTTTAAATTATTCATAAACAACTCTCCGAGTACTATTCCATATGAAATATAATCTTTTTCCCCCTGGTATCTCAGTTGTCATCTGCACAACAATTTGACGACAATACTGTTGGTAGGCTAGGAAATGTTGATAAATTTCCCTTTTTTCATGATGGGATTACGGAATACCTTTCCCCAGGAGATCTAGAAAACCACCATCGCAGGGGAGTGTTTCACAAAGACTAAGATCGACTTTACGTTGGACTTAACTATGGCAGGTCGTTCATGCCACTAGTTCATCTAACCGTTCCTGACATTGGTTTCTCAAGGGACGTACAAATCATGGTCGCAAATCTATAGAATTTACATTTTTTGATAGTTCATCATTGAAGGAATAAATATTATCTAAAGATCATAATGGTGAGAGCAACCAGTGGCAAGAATGGCCTGCCATAGTTAAGTCCAACTTAAAGTTGATCTTAGTCTTTGTGAAACTCTCCCCTGGCATATATCAAACCTGAAAGCATCGGTTCCTTCTCCAGGGGCCTGGACGACACACTCAAACACCTTGCTCTTCTTATCATTGTAGACCTTCATATAATCAGCATGGGCAATGACGACCATAGAGGCGTACTTCTGGGACTTCTCCTTGCGCACGGTCCACATGTAGGAGTCAGTCATAGGGATGCTGCTCATCACCGTGTTGAACACCAGCCCCATTGAGGAGTTTGGGGCGAAAGGATTCTTGAAAGCCATGGTGATGATGTGCTCTCACAGTCTCACTCTACATTAGGAGAAGGAATAAGAAATAGGAATAGTTGACAATTAAGTGACAGTTTTATTAAATAATTTTCTACAACACCAAATAACATTCACCATTATGAATATTTGTCCTTTATAATATTGTCCAACAGAAGTCTTAGAAGATATATGAAATATATGGAATTTCAAAGGAAATTCCATCTCTGGTTAATTTTGTGTTTTTCTCTCCATCGTTGGTATGAGATTTTTGAAATCTACTGAACTTTTGAGATAGCGAACTACGGTCACGCATGAACTATGGTCCTACCACCGAATTACAAGTGACAGTCTTACAAGTACAACTCTACAGAGGCGTAGACTTGGAGTCGGACTGGGTCTATCTACTTTTGTTTTCAATTTTGATGAAAAAATAACAAAAACAAGACAATGCCTCCGGCTCCTGTCCTGACCTCAGCAGCTCAGAGGCAAAAATTTGGTAGGGAAAACATACATTCAACATTGTTGTCAATAATTTTTGATAACAAATAATAGGGCGTAATTGTTTATCTTTTCCTTTTTCAAGTTTTTGTAACAGTAAATGTAGATCTAGACTAGTCTAAGGTAGATCTAAACCATTATTATTACTTACTTTACTTTACTTTAATACACGATGTTGTAGGTCTAAGCCTGTTCATCGATCCAGGATTCTTCCAGGGAACTGCGATTTGTGGAGAAGGGAGGTTGTGTAAAACATGAAACAACAGACAACACCTAGACCGGCTCATACAGAAGGCTTGCGTTCTTTGACCAGTGACTATCCAGTCTATTCTTGAATGAGTTGACTGACCCAGCTGCCACAACATTTTCTGGGAGACTGTTCCACAGTTCCACGACTCTATTGCTAAAAAAGTATTTTCTGATATCTAGTCTTGAATATTTCTTTTCTAGTTTTCTAGAGTGACCTCGAGTTCTATCCTCTGTACTCAACTTAAAGGGAATCTCTTGCACATTGTACAAGCCATTCAAGTACTTGTACACATCGATCATGTCCCCCCTTCTACGCCTGTGAACAAGAGTTGGTAATTGGAGTTTGGTCAAGCACTCCTGGTAAGATAAATTTCTAAGGCCAGGAATAATCTTTGTTGCACGTCTTTGTACGCTTTCCAATATCCTCTGTTCTCCTAGTCTGTATGGGGACCATGCGGCCTGTCCGTATTCTAATATGGGCCTAACGAGGCCTTTAAACAAAAACGGCATAGTGTCAGTATTTAGGTACATAAATGTCCTACGGATAACTCCAAGTACTCGATTTGCTTTGAGAACTGTTTGGGAGACGTGATCTTTAAATGATAGTTGTGAATCTACAAGGACACCTAGGTCCTTTTCTACTTTGGTAACAGATAGTGTTACAGAGTCTGTCCCCTTTTTCATACAATAGCCTGTAGAGGCATCTGCTGGTAACTTCCCAAGCCTTAAAACAGTACACTTATCAGGATGAAAGCGAAGCTGCTATTTCTCAGCCCATTGTTCCATCCGTGACAGATCCTCTTGAAGCTGCTTTCTTAAATTTGCAGTATCAGCACGGACATACAACTTTGTATCATCTGCAAACATTGAAATATTTGAGTTCACAATTTTTGGAAGGTCATTGACAAATAGCAAAAATAAACACGGACCCAACACACTGCCCTGTGGCACTCCACTCAGTACTTTGCCCCACTTAGACTGCTTGCCTCTGACCACTACTCTTTGCTGCCGTCCACTCAGAAAAGACTCTAACCATGCAAGTACATTCCCACGGACTCCATATGACTCTAATTTGAGAAGCAGCCGGTGGTGAGGCACCGTATCGAACGCCTTCATAAAGTCTAAATATATCGCATCTACTGTGCCTCCATCATCCAAAATCTGTGTCCACTGGTCCAACACCTCTAAAAGATTGGTAATGCAAGACCGACCAACTACAAACCCATGCTGGTGAACTGAAATCAAATCATTCGTCATAAGATGGTCAAGCAATTGCTTACGCACAAGATTCTCCATCATTTTACAAATAATGCTTGTTAGACTAACTGGCCTATAATTTTTACTATCACCTTTGTTACCTTTCTTGAAAATTGGGGTAACATTAGCAGATTTCCAGTCCTGGGGTAGCTGTTTACTTTCAAGACTCTTTTGGAAAAGAATAGAAATATTATTATTAGAGTCTATCTTCTGGCCATTGTCTCTCAATTCTTAATTGAGAGAGTCTCCCACTCTGAGCTGAGGTCAGGAGCCGATCAGGAGCTCTTATTACATAGTCTTATCTTACATTGAACTTAAACAGTTAAACTTGTGAAAAGTGTCTACTCTGCATTATAGGCCCTACTGTTAGTCACACTCACTCACAGTAACTCCAGGGAGCTCCTAGAGTCCTACGCCGACGCCTTCGGCGGCGGAGCTCCTGGAGTTACACTCACATTCACAAGTCAATGTGAGACAACACAAAATGTCAAACAGTTTGGCCAAAATGATTTCATTCAGTGAATTTAGACCTAAATTGAATGTATTTATTACTTTCACTCACAATGACTCGATCACATCTACGTTGTTACTTGACACTGCTCGGCAAACAGTCAAAACATAAATTACTTTCACTTCACTCTTCAGGCAGTCACTGTGGGAAATTGTTATGGTCAGTAGAGCCGTAGAGGGTAGCTCCTAAGCCTCGCAGTTACCTTTCAATCTGACATCATAGAAATGAGGGGGTGGGGGGGGGGGGGTGGGCGAGGGGGGATGCCAGTTTGTTCATTGTTAACAAAATTGTGGTAAGTGTAGTACTAAGGATCATGATAAGATAGTTCATAGTTATGTTCGTCTATTTCTTTCACTGTTTATTTACTGTATACTGAGCATATTAGTTTGATTTCCATATATGATAAGCCATGGATCATCATTTTTTTTGTGTCCGAAAAGAAGGAAAACAAAAAATCGTCATGATTTTTTTCAGTTGATGCAGCATCAAAGTATATGACTCATTATGAATCTCTCTGTTTCTCGCTCTTTCTATCTCCCTGTCTCTTTATACCTCTCCATCCCGTGTGCAGTTTTTCTTTTTGCAAAATTTTCGGTGGCAATCCTTCTGAAAAATATTACCGAGGTCATTGCCCCAAATCGCATCCCCTAGTCAACAATGGTTCTTCATGTATATATTAATCTTTGAATGCATGAATTAATTAACAAATACTGTATAATGTAGAAGAAAATTCAATTCTATTCAACTATGTTTCACAAATGCAAGTCATATAAACCTTACATACAAACACATTCATAAACATAAGAGGAATTATAACAAATAAGTCCATGTAAATATAACCGATTAAAGCCCCTCTAAAGTGTTGGGAGCCCCAACAGTTTGATGGCTAAATTTCACTTAAATTGTATCATAATGTCAATGTGAAAGAGAATGTCATTATTTTAAAACACATTTCTGCAAGGGTTTTCAAAAGGAATATAAAACATAAAAACATAAAACACAATAATTGTGTTTGAAGTCGAACATTGATGAAAGAATATATTACAAGCTAGGCATTCTGTGTACAACATTAGCCCAAATCATTCTTTTATTTTTGTCTTCAAATACTTTTTTTTGGGGGGGGGGGGGTGTCTTTGCAAAAGTGTGTCTTAATTAATGACATCCTCTTTCACGTTATGATACAATAATTAAGTAAAACTTTGCCATCAAATTGTTGGCGAATTTGGGGCTTCCAACACTATAGAGGGGCTTTAAGATGTCAATGCAATCCGATGTCAGAGATAAGATATAGCTTAGATGTACTTACCTTCTCGATCTATACACTCTGCTCGAGAAAAAAATGGAGAGCTCGACGACCAGACAGCAAGCTGCAAATGAATAATAAACCAATTTCATAACATTCATTGCCTTATAAACAGCAATGGCAATGGCCGGTTGAATATTGACTTATAGGGAACATGGCGAAAAAAAAGGGAAAAAATGCTATAACCTTCTCTCGGACATGCTCCACTTGTGCCCCACTTGTTCTTAATTACAGAAAAATATTTCTTCATTCGAATAACTTTTCCAAAACCCACGCTAAAAGATAAAACCGATTAATTAACGATTCGGACGATGAACGGTATAAATTTGTTCGGTATATAGCTAAGTATGTTGTCATCTGTACGGAATGCGTTGTCCCTGCGTCCATTCCCTAGTCGATTTTAACATGCGAACATTTTGTTGTTGCTATTTTCTCTATATTAATATTTTTTAAAGAAAACTAAAATGTTCCCCCTATTCTCTTGAGGAAGGAATGGAAGGTACATGTATGTTTTAAATATTTATATATATTTAGGCTAATGACTTGGAATAGAAGATGGATGGAAAAAAAATATATTCAGATTTGAAAACATGTTCTGTGGGGTGTTTCCCCAAATAGTTTTAAACTATTTTATTTCGAAAAGTAGGTTAACACTCCTCTATCAAGAGCTGCCAGGAAACTAACTGCTTGCATGTTGACAAAACTTACTGTGAGGCAGTTTAGATAACTGTATTTTAGGGAACATGGCGAAAAACAAATGCTGCAACCTTCACTCGGACATGCCCCACTTGTTCTTAATAACAGCAAATATTTCTTCATTTGATCAACTTTTCCACAACCCACGCTAAAATAAATGATAAAACCGATAAGTCACATGCGTGGCCTATATACTCGCATTAACGTAAAGCACCTATATTATGAACATTTATCTATTATTATTTATTATTGTGTTCTGGTCCAAGAATAATGTTTATAAAAGAAGAACTAGCGAATATTGGTGTTGCTATTTTCTCTATATTTATTTTAGAAAACCAGCATAAAACTTACCGTTGATGGTAACTTTGTCATCAGTGGCAACTACCATGGTAACAGCGCTCAAGCCAATCAAAATCAAGGTTTCCATGGTAGTTACCATCGATGACAAAGTTACCATCAATGGTAAGTTTTGTGCAACGGGGCCCCCCTATTTTCTTGAGGATAGAATGGAAAGTATATTTTAAATATTTGTATATATTTAGGATAATGATTTGGAATAGGAGGTGGATGGAAAAAGTTCGGAGTTGAAAATATATTATTAAACAAAATATTTTCTGTGGGGTTTTACACTATTTGATTTTGACTATATAGGTTGGCGCCCTTCTATAGCTGCCGGGAAGCGTTATTTTTTTATGCGGCACAGATTGGGGCAAGGCGCTACCTACTAAGTATACGTTCTTTCCCTTCTGAATAGTGTCTGCACTTACGTGAGACTAGTCATGTTAGCTAGCGCATTAGCGCTGCAAAGAAGTTTGAATATCCATCGTGAACTATGTGTTTAGATAACATTCCTCTTCGTTTAAGTTAGTAAGTTTTATTGACTAATTATTGTGATGTTCTCCTTATTGACGTGCTGCCTCCTCTTCAGTTTTCCAATTTGATTTTAATTGTTGATGTAATGATTTTCCATGCGGCAGTGGATTAAATGTAACACTTTTAAAAACAGACCTCTACTACTATACTGTCTAGTACGCACACGACCAGTATTAGTCTGTAAATCAAGACCCCTTTTTTAAAAAAGCCCCAATCTGTGCCGCATAAAAAAATAACGCTGCCGGGAAACTACCTACTTGCATACTGACAAAATTTATCAATGCAATTCAGTTAAAGTAACTTTTATAAGTAGGATAAGAATTCAACGCCATGCGTTCCAATCATATTCAATGATATTTCTATATCACATTTTACGCCATCTCATCTTTTATGCTTCAAGCTGTAAACAAATACAATAAATCAATTTCATAACATTAATTGCCTAAATTATAAACAGCAATGCACCCAATTGAACTAGGAACATGGCGAAAATCAAATGCTACAACCTTCACTCGGACATGCCCCACTTGTGCCCTACTTGTTCTTATTACAGCAAATATTTCTTCATTCGAACAAATTTTACATTACCCACGCTAAATGTTAAAACCGAAATAAATAACTAAAATATAAATAAATAACAACATAGCGAATAGCACACACGCACACACACACGCACCCACGTTTTATATTTTTCTGTTTAAGTAATTTTGTTTTATTCCTAGAAAATAGTACAACTTACAAAAACACCATACAATTGAATAAAATAAATAAACGTTTTTAATATCAATTGCTGATACATAAACATGATTAAACAAAAACTCATTTGCAGTATATAAAACAGAGCAACAAAGTAATCTTAAAGTATACATAAACATAATTTATAAGTTATTGTACATGTTATTCGCTCTTGACTATTTAAAAACAACTTAAGTTTAACAAATCTGGAGGTTATTTTGATTTTTGATTTTTCAAATTTGTTGTTAATGTTATGTTGTTATTTATTATTTATCTATATATATTTATATTCATAGGGTAAAGCATAATTATGACCCCCTGAACAGGGACAATGAACAAAATTGTGTAATCTGGAACATATCAATTCCTTTCATAGCAAAAGCGCTCCTCACAATTTCTGTAAATTTGGCAGTTTAACGCTACGCGTACCGCCTTGACCGGACTGTGCGGTATCTGTGCAGTTCTGTGTGTAGAGAGGTCGGGCTGTATTCATTATTTCTTGGGGGTGCATAAATTGCTCTAATTATACGTACGCGTGTAATGCGCAAGTTTATTGTGACGGCACTAAACCCATCCCACTCATTGTTCCCCTATTTTCATAATGGTACTGACCCAATGAAATGTAGTGCAGTGCGCTGGTACGCGCTGCGCTGCGTGTGTACATGTATGAAGGGGTGACCAAAGTTCGCGGATATTTTTCTTTTCTTGCATATTTCAAAAAATCCAGATCAACATATATCATGTTCCATACGTCATAAGATTCGTAATTTATCATATAATCAGATTATATAACATTCCAAGGCTTTATTTACTTCAAATCAATGATAAGACGAGAATATCGGAAGCCTTACCACTACCGACGTCCGTCAAAAAGTGTGACCTAAGTTCGCGCATGATATTTACTGCCCTCTTGTGATGGGCTTTATATATGTAAACATTCCAAAAAGTTACGTAGTTTCAATCAGAAGCCGAACTTTATATTAAAACTTTGAAAAATATAATAATTTCTCTCTATCATTGAAATATTGCCCGATAAAAATACCCTTGTTAAATTTTGCAAATAAAAGACAATATTTTTCAATGTTTATGTGTTAAAGTCAATGTAGTCCCTATCTGCATGTCATTTGTTTGTTTGAAAAAATTATCATGTGTCTCCATTTTATATGTCAGCCATACACGAGTTCTCGCTCTTTTCTCTCCTCTTTAATTCCCCTTTTAAATTTGTATTCTTACGAAACCCATAGATTCATTGAAATTCACAAACACAGATACGGTGGAAGCAGGCGCGCAGGTTCCGTTTTTCGCGTAAGAAATTGGAATTTTATCATTATTTTTCGGAGTCGATCCCTCTAATAAACTGATTTTCATGTAAAAAAAACACAATTTGTAATGATAAAAAGCGTGAAAAGGCTAGCTTATTCACATTTTTATGTCGCATTTTGACCTTTGGAGTTGTCGACGGTGCTCAAAGATTTCGTTGTCTCAGTCCCACACAGGCATCGCGTATCGTTCTCCTGTTATAAGCGCTTTTAGTGTTATAC